GGGGGAAGCAGGCTCCCCGCCAAGCAGAGAGCCCGATGTGGGGCTCGATCCCAGGACCCTGAGATCATGACCTGAGCCGAAGGCAGAGGCTTAACCCACTGAGCCACAAGGTGCCCTGAGAATTATATTTTAATAAGATTGAGTTAATCAATGACTGTGGTTTATTTCCCCATTTATTTAGGTCTTCAGTTTCTCTCAGCAGTGTTTTGTGAGTCTCATCTTATAGGTGTATCTTAATAAGTTTATTCCAGAATATTTCAGGTTTAGAGGACCCTGGGTTCATGACCTGAGCCGAAGGCAGACACTTAACCCACTGAGCCACCCAGGCACCCAAGGGATTTAATTTTCTATTCTCATAATGTCTTTGTGTGGTTTTGTTATCAGAGTATTGCTGACTTCATAAATTGAGTTGAGGTGTGTTTCATTCTATTCTAATTCTTAAAGTTTCTTTAGGATTTGTATTATTTCTTCCTTGAAAGGTTGATAGCATTCACTAGTGAAGCCATCCGGATCTGGAGTTTTCCTTTTTGGAAGTTTTAAAATTTTGAATTCAATTTTAAAGGCTTTTAATGTTTTCTGTTTTCTTAGTTTTGATAATTCACCTCTTACAAGTTCATTTGTCTAATTTATTGCAAAGCATTGTTCATGATATCCCATTATCCTTTTAATCCGTATAGGCTCTCTAGTGATCTTTCATCCTCACATTGGTAATATTTTCTGTCTTGTTTTTTCTTTTTCAGTCTAGCTAAAAGTTTGTTAATCCTAGTGATCTTTCTAAATAAACATTTTGCGTTCATTGACTTTTTTTTTACTGCTATGCATATTTTTATAATCCATTTCCATATATACTTTATTGTTTTTCTTCTTTTTAATTACAGTTTACTTTTATTTTTATTTTTATTTTTTTAAGATTTATCCATTTATTTGACAGAGATCACAGGTAGGCAGAGAGGCAGGCAGATAGAGAGGGGGGAAGCAGGCTTCCTGCTGAGCAGAGAGCCTGATGTGGGGCTCGATCCCAGAACCCTGGGATCTCAACCTAAGCTGAAGGCAGAGGCCCCAACCCACTGAGCAACCCAGGTGCCCCTACAGTTTACTTTTAAATAACACACGTTTGAACATGGAGGTCTACTTACCTGTGAATTTTTTTTATATAGTACAGTACTGTAAATGTATATTCTCTTCCTGTTGATTTTCTTAACATTTGCTTTTCTCTAGTTTACTTTATTGTAAGACTATAGTACATAATACAAATACATATAAAATATGTGTTAATTGGCTCTTTATGTTATCAGTAATGCTTTCCAGTCAATAGTAAGCTCTTAGTTAATTTTGGGGAGTCTAAAGTTATATATGGATTTTTTTTAAGATTTTATTTTTAAGTAATCTGCACATTCAACACGCATAGAGATTACAGCCCCAAGATCAAGAATTGCATGGTCCACTGACTGAGCCAGCCCGGCCTCCCATAAAATTATATAAAAATTAATAACTAAATCTTTTTTTTAAATGTTAAATGAGAGAAAATCAAATATAATTACCTTTTTGGGCACTCTTTATTTCTTCCTATATTTAATTTTCCATCTGCCATCATTTTTCTTACTATAAAATTTCTGTTATCATTTCTTATAGTTCAAATCTGATGGTAATTCTTTCATTATTTATTTCTCTGAAACAGTCTTTATTTCACTCTAATTTTTTTTTGAACCATAAGTTATTTAAGAATATGTTGTTTTGTCGCTAAATATTTGAATATTGGGGCACCTGGGAGGGCTCAGTCTGTTGAGTATCTGACTCTTGATTTTGACTTAGGTCATAATCTTACAGTTGTGAGATCAAGCCCCCCACTGGGCTCCATGTAAGGCGGAATCTGCTTTAGAGTCTCTTTTCCCTCTCCATCTGCCCTTCCCCCTGCTCTCTATCTCTCTCAAATAATAAATACTTTTTAAAATAATAAATAAATAAATATTTGAGTTATCTTTATCTTATTGACTTCTAAGTTAATTCCTTTGTGGTCAGATAATATACCTTGTATGACTTAAGTCCTTTTAAGTTATTCAGACTTGTTTTATCATCCAGATGTCATCTATCCTGGTAAATGTTACACAGACACTTGGAATAAACATACATGCTACTAATGTCATACCATCAGATGAAGAGTTTTATAAATGTCTGTTAGATCACCTTGACTTATAGTGTTGTTCATCATTTCTATCTTTACTTTTTCTGAATACTTGTTCTATCAATTATTGTGATGTGTAATGTGTCTTTTCATTTTTCTCTGGATATTTTTAAGATTTTCTCTTCTTATTAGTTCCTATAATTTGATTATGATGTACCTTGATAGGGTTCTTTTTTTTTTTTTTTAATTAGAGTTCATTGATCATCTTGGATCTGTGGAATATTTTTGGAATATTTTGGAATACTTTTGGTCATTTTTGTTCAGATATTTTTCTTCCTTCCTCAGTTCTCTCTCGGACATAGTTACGTATATATTACACAACCTGTTGTTAACTTGCACATCACTTCACATGCTCTTCATTTTTCCAAAAAAGTCTTTTTCTTTCTTTCCATTTCAGTTTCTGTTGCTGTGTCTTCAAGTTCACTGATGTTTTCTTCCTTAGTGTCTAATATGCTGTCAATCCTATCCAGTTAGTTTTTCATTTCAGGAATTTCATTTTTCTCATCTCTAGAAGATCTGTTTGGTTCTTTTAATATTTTCCATTTCCCTCCTAATTATGTTTTCCTTTGTGCTTTTGAATGTATGTGTAAGAGCTAAAGTCCTTGTCGCTAATGCTGTATTCTCTATCATTTATAAGTTTGTGTTTATGACTTTTCCTACTGGTTTGGGTTCTCATATTCCTAATTTTTTATATATCTAGTAATTTTCTCTTAGAGGATATACATTGTGAATTTTATGATGTTGAATTCTGTACTTTGTTGTCTTTCTTTAAAGAGTATTGGACTTTATTGTAGCAGGGGTTAAATCAACTTGCAAATTCCTTTGACCTTCTTATAGCTTGTTTTTAAGCTTTTTGGAGGTAGATTTAGAGTAGTGTTAGCATACAGATGTAGGTTTATTTTGGCCAAATACTAAGACGCATAATTTTTCTGGGGTCTCTTTCATATGTCCCCTTTTTAAGAGGTGGATATTCTCCCCTCTAGGAATTGTTTGGTCAAAACTCAAACATCTCTCACCCCTGTGTGAGTAGAGAGAATTGTTCGCCTTACAGTTGTCCCCCAGTAGTTCTTGTTTTTTGGATTTTTTCTTTTGTTAGGGGTGTTGAACAGTTCTTTTTTGTCTCTCCTCATAGTATTTAGTGAGGTAAAACAAGAATTTGGTCTTTATAATTGTAATGAGTAATGCCTACAGGCTGAAAAAAGGTAGAAGTGATATTTGAATATATGAACTGTCATGTGAGATGCATAGGAAAGTATTAACTTATTTATCAAGGAAATTTTAAATGAGTGGCAAAATTTATTCTATTGAAATTACCAACGGGCACCTGGGTGGCTCAGTCAGTTAAGCGGCTGCCTTTGGCTCAGGTCATGATCCTGGGATCCTGGAATTGAGCCCCGCATCAGGTTCCCTGCTCAACAGGGAGTCTGCTTCTCTCTCTCTCTCCCTCTGCCCCTCCCCTGCTCGTGCTTTCTCTCCCTCTCAAATAAATAAAATCTTAAAGGAAAAAAAAGGGGTGCCTGAGTGGCTCAGTGGGTTAAGTGGCTGCCTTCGGCTCAGGTCATGATCCCAGGGTGCTGGGATCGAGCCCCACCTGGGGCACCCTGCTCAGCGGGGAGTCTTCTCCCTCTCCCTCTGCCTGCCACTTTGTGTACTTGTGCTCTCTCTGTCTCTGTCTGTTAAATAAATAAAATAAAATCTTTTTTAAAAAATTATCAAATAAAGAAGAATTTCCAAGTGAGAATACCTGATCTTTGAAATGGTCTCTTTCTTCTGCTTCTGTGTAATTACAGTTTTTTTTCCCTTTTTCCTTTACTATTCCTCTTCTGGGTTTGGGTTTGTTTGTTTGTTTGTTTGTTTTTTCCCCTTTCTGATATTATTTCTCCTCCTCCTCCTCCTCCTCCTCCTCCTCCTCCTTCTTCTTCTTCTTCGGGACTCTTTTTTCATTCTGCTAATATTCTTAGAAATCTTAGCCATTTTCTCAACTTTAATATTTCTCTCCATGCATATTATATCCATTTTTATGTATACTGCCTAGACCTGTCTTCTGAGATAGACCTGAATTCTCAAATTCCTTTTGAGGGGCAGTTCTGTTTGTATTACAGTATTACTTCAGATAAAATATACCTAAAACCTAAAGCTTTATACTCTCTCCAAATATTTTCTTCTTTTACTTCTCTTTTTCTCTCAAATGGCTCCCAGACCTTTTCTTATGTCATTTGTTCCTAAAATCTTACAGTCATCTTTGAAACCTCTCGTCCTATAATTAATTGCCCAGGCTCATTAATTTTTAAAAATATTTTGTTTATTTAAGAGAGAGAGAGAGAGGATGAGCAGTGGAGAGGGGTAGAGGGAGAGAGAGAGAGCAAGAGGGAGGGAGAAGCAGACTCTCCACTGAGCAGGGATCCCGAAGAGGACTCAATCCCAGGACCTGGAAATCATGACCTGAGCCAAAGGCGGTTGCTTAACTGACTGAGCCAATCAGGCACCCCAGCCAAGGCTCATTAATTTGACTTTTTCAGTGCTTCTCATATCTTTCCTCTCATTTTTTTAATAAGATTTTTTTAAAGATTTTATTTATTTATTTGAGAGAGAGAGCTTGAGTGGGGGAGGGTCAGAGGGTGAAGCCAACTCCCTGCTGAACAGGGAGCCTGACTTGGGACTTAATCCCGGGACTCCAGGATCATGACCTGAGCTGAAGGCAGTTGCTCAACCAACTGAGCCACACAGGCACCCCCATCTTACCTCTTTTTTAATTTCTGCTGCAACATGTATTTATTCATTCATTTAGCAAATACTTGTTGAATTTACACATATGCTAGGACTTTTCCCCTAAGAAGTTGGAATTATATGATTTCTACAGTATAGCAGAGTACTCAAAAATGGTAAGACCCAATAAATTCTTGTAAAATGACTCACTGAGTGAATATATTAGGTTGAACCATGTGAAACTGGAATTTTTTAAGGTCAAAGTAGTTAAATGTCAGTAATTTCCTATGTTCAACAAGTATACTGATATTAAGAGTCATACTAATATGCAGAGAAGTACATATTAAGTTACTCATACTATTGTTAATGTTAACAGTAATATTATTAATGTTGTATATAATTTCTTTCATTAAACTATAAAAGTTGACTTTTCTCTCCTTTGCCTACCAGGAAACACGAAACTATCCAGAATCATATCCACAACTGCCAAGGGATGAAACAGTGGAGAACCCTCATCTCCAGAAGCACATTCTGGAATTAGCATCCATTCTGGATGTTCGAAACGTGTTCCTCGAGAGTACCATAGATGACTATTAAAACAAAATCCTCTTGTTGAAACAATTTTTCATTTGCCACAGATTTTACATGGTGCAGTTTTCTAATGTGATGACCAAGACACATAGTGGTGTTACTTAGTTTTAATTTTTTAATTTAAGGCCACCATTTTAAAAACAAACTGAAAAAATTGTTCAAACTTTTAGGGTAACTGTTTTAAAATACAGTCTTTCAAGTCTTTTAAAAAACTCAATTAATCTTGGAATTTTTACTTTTTGGTTTTGAGGTATGGCTACTTACCTCCAGCATCTGTCCCTGCACACAAATAGTCACTGTTCTCACCCTCAGAAGAGTAAATCATTTATTTTTATATAATGAGGAAAATCCAGCTCTTATACTTGGACCTTAAATGTGTGGATTTAAAAAAAAATGTGTGGATTTAGAAAATTTATCATTGTTCACAAAGATGAAACTAGCCAGCATGGACTATTAAAAATCAAGAACAGGCTTTCCATAATATTTCTTTTCATTCCAGCTTAGTAGGTGGACAAATGTGTGATCCTTTGAAGCATAATCAAGACATTTTTTTAAATAATTTAACTCATTAAATACTGTCATAATTTCAGAAAATGTATAGGATTGGTTTGCATTTGAAAGTTAAATCTTTAATTGAAGTCTTAAGATGATAAATATCACTTGGAATGTGTGAGCCCTGTGTTATCATGAGATATGCTGGCATAATTTGCTTTCTTTATAATCTGAATGCTGGAAATGAAAAAAAAAAGACTTTTAAGTATTTCGGTCAAAAAATCAGATTGTTGGTTTCATAATACAATGTTTCCACAAGGAATTCTATTTAAACTCTTAATTCATGATACCAAGTTTGAAGACTATCCAGCTTGAAGGCTGTGGCATATAGTACAGAGGTTATCATCTTTTTGCCTAGTTCACGTTTATGAGACGTCAAAGTCAGAGATGTTATTAATTTTAGTCAGGGGTAACTGAATTGTTATTTAACCTAAAATGGAAGTAACTTTTGCATTGACAATTTGGAAATAAGATTTTTTTAACTCCTTTTATTTAACATTTTATATTCATGCACAAGTTTTTTTTTATTATTATTTTAAATAGGACTCCGTATATAATACAAAGTTTTTTGTGTTTTTCTTCTCTGTCATCCGCTTCATAATTTCATAAGCATTTGTTATGATGCTTTGGGTTTTTCCCTCTAATCTTTAGACTCCAAGGCATTCAAGTTCAGAAATCTATGAACCAAAAGCCCTTCTACCTAATACTCTGTACAGGCTCACATTCTACTTCTGGTGGTCCCAGGGGAAATAAGGTGATTGCTTTTGGTGCCTCTTTCCTGTGTCCATAGGGAAATTTTACTGTAACATTTTTACTTTGGTTTTCATTTCAGGCAGAGGCTATTATTTGGGTCTGAGTTATTCATATACCTGTTCCAATTTGCTGATTTTTCATCTGAAGTCTTGAAATTACTGTTCTTGGATTTAGGGGACTTCGTGGCATTTCATTCATTCATTTCTTCATTGTTTTTGTTTGTTCTTTTAAACATTATTTCATAAAGCTTTAGAAGACTTGTCCTGGAGGGAGATTTTTTTTTTTGCCTGATGGGTTTTTCTTTATCAGATAAAGACTGCTTTTCTTTTTTTTGATATCTTTATAAATTTAATGGCTTTCCTTTCATAACCGCGTTCACCAGGGTTACAGCAGTAGGCTGACCTCTTGTTTCAGTCCCCTTGAATTTCTCTGCCAGTAATGTACCTGACCTCACGTATTTTCCTCTCCCCTGATGCTTAAAATAATATTTATCTTCCTGAGCTTTATTCTCACCTGTTTAGCATAAAGAACACTGGTCTGAGAACTAAGAGACCTGAGTTGTAATTCTGCCTTTCTTGGTAACTAGCTTTATGCCCTTTGACAAGTGTCTTCATGTTTCTGTTTTATTATATTCTCATCTGTAAAATGAAGGCATTAGCCCAAGATCCTGTCCAGTTGTATGGTTCTATAATTGCAATCTTGATTTCCCACCCCCTGCCACCTGGAAAATCAGTTCCCCTGAGTTTAGCATAGACGTTTTCTTTTCTAAGTCATATTTCATTTGTTTTTGTCCACAAATATATCGGAGTCTCAGTTATTTAGAAGCTAATCAGGTGAAGAAATTCGAGCTTTTGTGATTAGAAACGTGTTTGTACAAGAACAAGGGGTCTTAGAAATCACAAGGAGGGTTGAGATGATGACATTGTTCCTTGAGCTGATAGTAGTATAATTTCTTATTGGTAGTTAAAAATCTAAAGTGAGCCAAAGCGATCTTGAATCTTTAAGAAAGGAAAACTGTGCTAGAAAATTCTAAACCGTTGTTTCATTCATGCCATCAGAATGCACACTGAACAACTATACTCCTGATTTTGTCCCAGGCATTGGGAAAGCAAATGAATCAGATGTAAAAATCCTTGTCTTTATGAAGTTTATATTTGAGTAGGAGGAGTCAGGCCATAAGCATAATAAGAAAATTTCTGTTAGAAAGTTGTAAGTTGTATGAAGAAAGTTTAGAACATGGTAAGGGAAATGTTTTCATTGTTTTGGGGTGAAGAACAGTGTGTAAGTGAGTGATCAGGGTAGGCCTGACTGAGAATACTACCTTTGTGCAAACACCTCGTGTTTCTTTTCTTTTTTTTTTTTTTTACTTTTTATTATGAAAATTTGAAGCATGTGTAGCATTTAATGAACTATCCTGTATTCATCACCAAGCTTCTACATTTGAAGACATTACTTTAAGCAAGAACGAAAGACACGTAAAAGGACAATCACTCATGGGTATTAGCAAAGAATCTCTTTTTTCAATGCATACCACTCTTCTTTATATATGTAAAAATATTAAGCCCCTTATTTATTTAATTTTAGAATGCATAGAAATTTAAACATTGGAACTAAAAACGAAGCAAAGCAATGGGGAAAAGCACTTCTTTGTTTTCAAATTGCACAACCTCCCCCTGGAGATTCTGATACAGGGTCTCGCCTCCCTTAAGAATCACTGCAAACAAAATGAGGTATAGGATTGCAAGATGTCCCCTACACACAAAACAGCGTGAAGCACAATGGAATTATTTTCTCTTTGTTCACCCGTATATTTCCGAATTTGGTAAAGCAGCTATTTTCCCTGTTTCTCAGAAGAGAAAGCTCAGACCCCAAAACACTACATTTATTCATAGTGGCAGAGCTAGAACTAAAACTCACATCTCCTAACCTCAGCCCGGTCTTTCTGGTAGCTCAGGTTGCTTTCTATAATGAACAAGAAAGAAATAATTAGAGATTTCTATTTTGGCACAAAAGGTTAGGGTATTTTTAAAGTAGATCAAATATTGAAACTAGGAAATCAGTCAGCCCAGCAAATTTTTATTTATTAATTTTAAGAAATCCCTGAGTCAGACAATTTAACCTTTATTCCAGCCAGGATATATTTTTTGTATATGTGTGTGTGTTTTCCTCCTAGGAAGTGGTGCTCTCAAAACCCCTCAAAGCACAGAAAATTTATGGTACCCTTTATATTTTTACCAAGTTGAAGTGTTTTGAAATTATAAAAGCAAAGTGCAATCTAGTCATGACTGAAATTTTCCTGATACAGGATCTGGGTTTATTTTTTCTTTACTTGTGGCTACTGCCCTTTATTTCTTCTTGTAATAGAATTCGCTGAAATAGATTAGGTGACAGTTGTACTGAATTCCATTGAGGAAAACAGAAAAGCATCCAATCTGATGTATATGTCAATTTGTGGTGCTTTCTTTAGCATTCTTCTCCCAAGTTTAATCTCTGACCTGTGTGACTTCGTAACTTTCTGTCTCTTAAAAGGGGTTTGGACTCAGTTGAAAGATCTTGTACTTAGTTATCCATGAAGTCTTGTAATCAGCCTGATATACAGAGAACAATCTGGACTGGAAATAGAGTAAGGTGCCAAGGGTCAGCAATCGCGGCTACTGCCAGTGATTCAGAACCACCTCCCTACCCTAAGTGAGTAAAGAAATTTGATATGAATATGAATGGTATGAATCTCTGGTGATATTTTAGATGTATGTGTTCCTGTGTGTGTTTGGAGAGTATAAAGGGTTTTTACACGGAGGGCTCCTTTGTTGACCTTATTTATTTGAAAATCTTATTTTATTTGTGATCGCATGTGTATATTTTTGTGATGCTAAATGCAGTCTCTGTATACTTCTTTTGTATATATGTACATATTTGTAAATATATTGGTATGCAGTATGTGTATATTATATACCCATACCTACTGTGGGCTGAATTTATTTGAGTTCTGTGAGGACATCATGGCGGCATTGGCCGTGCAGCTGTAATTAGGTTGTGGCTGTGTCTCATTCATGAGCCTCTATTCTGAGGGGCTTGTGTTTGGGAAAAATTGGCTAATTTGGAGTTGGAATTAGGATGTGAAAATATTAACAGAAAGCAGGATATTCTTAGCTTTAAAATCATCTGCCAATTGCCACGTAAATGGACGAGAAATTAGTGATATATGCCTGAAAACCCTTAGTGTGTGAGACTGGGACACCAGCAGGTTCTTAAGGTCTGTTAGTCCTTTATTTTCTTGACCCTTAGTTGAGTAGTAGTATTGAGTAGTATTTATACTGAGAACTAAGGGGCTAAGTTACTTTGATCACATTTTAAAACAGATAGGAAAATGTCCATTAAATAGAGAAATCTGTTGGTAGTTGCCATGTCAATACCTGATACTAAGTTTTAATTTTGCAACAGTGTTTTTCACCGATGTGTCTCGTTTTATAGCTGTCTCTGGGAGGCAGGAAAAGGTACATTAGCTAGAGGAAAGCTGTACCTAGGTGGGGTCAGATTTAATAAGGAACAGGAGATGATTAATCTGTATATTTGCAGCCGCTGTGATTAATTTAGTCCTGCCTTGGCGTTTCAGACTACAGATTTTTCTTATTGGAGTCGCATATCAAAGATGAGTAGGCTCATCTGAGGAAATGCTTCTAGTGAATAAAATGCCTCCAGTTGCATTTCTTTGTCTCTATGAGACCACTTGTGTTCTGCAAATTGATGATATATTCACACACGAAATAGAATTCTTAATATTAGGTGCATGGTGTGCTCTCAAGTCTGGGCCTCTGAACCTCTACCAAGGATGATGGGCGGGGGAGGATATGCTCTTAGAGGACAGTAACTATGTGCAGTGCCAGTGTATGTACACGGAATATCTCAGAGTCTCAGTGTTTGGTTACTCCTGTTTCCACCTGGCACGTGTATTTGCACGGACAAGGGTAGGAGATGTATAGTAAACGCTTGAACACATTCACGAAAAAATTAAGTAGAGGTTATTTTTGCATGATAAAATATAACTGCAAAACAACTGTTTACCCCCTTATTTTTCAGACGATTACATCTGTGAGATAGAATATTAAATTAGTCAGAAGTCGGTTTTACCACCCAACAAATGTTTATTTGCCTCTTCATTGTATTTTTAATAAGAAGCCAGCTATTCATAACACCTCTCAGTTACAGTATTAAATATTTTAAAAAGTTGTAATTGCCTTTTTGGTAAGTAAATATGAAAATTTGGTAATGTACTATTTCTGAAAAATCAGTGGAAATGTCCGTAGTATCTGACATTCTGTTGTTTTAGTAACCAAATCATTCATTGCCATCGGAGAGTAACACAGCAGATGTTATGCTATTTAAAATTCATAGTACTGACTCAGGCTCAGTATGGACATTAGTTGGAGGAAAGGAGCAGCAGTAAGAAGTGAGATTGACATTGTGAATATGACTTCTGTTTTTAACAGTTGCAAAGCCAGTTACTTTGCAGTTAAATGAGGTAAGAATTGCTTAGAAAACCAAACCTTTCCCCCATTCTGTACTTTATTTCTGTTTGTGCTGCACCTCCCAGTCGTTCCTGAATACTGTGACCCCTTTACCTTACAATAAATAAATAAATAAGGCAATTCATCTTCCTCAAACTAAAATTTCAGAACATGGTATTACACTGTGTTCCAGCTTCACTGAGTTTTTTAACAGAAACTTATTAAGCATGCCTTGTGTTTAAGGAAAAATAATTGATGTGTGAATGGACTCAATCACCTATTGAAGGGAAGGGTGTCAGGTTAATGTAGGGGGACATACCCTTAAATTGGGTGAAGATAAATGTATTAAATTACGTGTAACTGACTTGTTGGTGCCATAGAAACATTTCCCTTGGAAGTCTGTAAATATGAAATGTTTTCTTAAGCTAAAATTGGTATTTTTCACTTATTAGTTTGGTGTAACTTTTGAGAATTCCATTTCTGTATAATATTGTTAATCACGGAAGCACCATTTTTTAATTTCAAAAATATTTTTGTTAATTTCTTTCATGTTTTCTTTAAACGTTATTTCTTATCAAACTACTCTAAACAGTGTGATTTTTTTTAAGCAGTGTGAATTTTTTAAAACATTTGAACAGTAGATTCAGTTTTTTTCTTTTTTTTTTTTTAAGATTTTATTTATTTATTTGACAGAGATCACAAGTAGGCAGAGAGGCAGGTGTGGGGGTGGGAGGGGGGAAGCAGGCTCCCCGCTGGGCAGAGAGCCTGATGCAGGCCTTCATCCCGGGACCTGAGACCATGACCGGAGCCGAAGGCAGAGGCTTAACCCACTGAGCCACCCAGGTGCCCCTAGATTCAGTTTTTTAATAGTAAGAAGTACCCAGATTCACTTAAGCCTGAATTTGGTCATAAAACATACTACTTATTAGGAATATTTTCCTATTTTGGTGAACATTTCCAGTCTATATCTTAAGACAATCATCTTTTTAGGTGTAGTATTGTTTATTGAGACATTGGTAATTTCAGGGTTCAGAGTTCTACTCTTAATGATAGGCTTACAGAATGAAAGTTAATAGAGTGATTCTATTATGTTCAGAATGAGATAGGGAATTATAGCTAGCTTTCCTATAGGTCTGCAGTAAGCAGTATTTAAATTTTTATACACTAGTATTATTTTCTCTTTTTAAGCTATTGTGAATATCCAGTTGTCTGTGATGAAAATTAGGATTTGTGAACATTAAAATTGGACCCATAAGTTTTCTCAAACATCAAGTCAGTATGACAAACCATTATAAATTGTGAAGTGATAATATATGATAATCCCAAAGTAAATACTTACAAACTATAGAAAAATAACCACTGCATTTTAAAAATTTTTATTCCTACCCTCCTTTGCATGTTATGATTTTTTCCTAAATTACATGTTGTGGTGTATTAAAAATCTGCAGGAAAAAAGTTGCTTAGAATCTTAGAGGGTAATAAGAATTTTTATTATTTCCTGAAGAATGAGGGGTTTGGTTTGGTTTGGTTGTTTTTTTTTTTTAGCTCTTGGCTATCTTATTAAAAATAACTTTTACTGGTCAGTAAAATATTTTAGGACTTCATGTTCATAGCTTTTTATAGTTATCTGGATACATTCCTTTTGCCACATAGACCATATGGCTAGTTCTACAATGATTTGTTTGTTTGTTTGTTTTTAATAAACCTTGCTGTTCAACAATCAATGAGTCTTACATTTTAGAGACTTCTTCCAGTTGAGGTGGATAGGACTTAGATAATAGGAAAGGCAGATACAATGTCCTAACATTTTCACAGTAGAGCTTATAAGTGAAGGAAATTATCCAAATAGGTTATCTTCATTGTGTAGCACCAGTACAAATAGTAATTTGAATCAGAGGAAGCAGTTATAAATCATTTCTTACTTTGCTCTAAAGATTATTGTCATTTCAGGCCACATTATTATATTCTCTGGGGAATTTCCATTGTAAGGTTGAATATCCTTTTTCTTTATTCACATCATCACTAAAGCTAATCACATAGGAATTAAAATAAGTTTGATCTTTTTCCCTGAAAATAATGGTGAACCTATTGTCTATATTATGGATATTAGGCATAAACGCACTTGTTTCAATCATAGCAGAAATTACATTTGGAGAATACAATTACTTGATTTTGTAGTGGTGTGAAATACTTTTTAAAAATTGTGCTCGTCTGTAACTGAAATGTTATAGAATTGTAACACTATAGGGATTATAGAGTTATATTTATTAGCTCTCCTCAAGAGATTGAAGCACAATAATTTTCATGTAACAGTTCTTATCCAAGTGCTGCTAATCTGTGTGCAAATAATGAAGCTATTTGGTTGCCTATCTAGCTATTCACAAATCACTGTAATCCTTGAGACTTTGTCTTGTTGCTCATTTGTACTAAATTTGGGGTATTGTGGGTTAATATTTTAGATCAAAATCTGTCAACTCAGCTCTGTGAGACAGCAAACCATTTGGATTCATTAGTTTTATATGTGTTATCAGTAGAATAAATTTTGAAGGGGCTATTTACTACCAATAACGAAGGGAAAAATTATTTTGTCAATATCATTTGACTTGAACATTTGTGGTATTGTGAAAGTCTTACTCGTTGTGTTTCTGAATTGCTTAAGCCATACATACTCTTAAGGATGTTTTCCTGTTGTGTTCTTTTTCAGCCTTTTTCTGCTTTGTCTGTTACAGTTAATACTTAATAGATTTTAGAAAGACGTTACTGAAACATTTTATTTTCTTGAGTTCATCACTTTTGACTCTTGTATAATATGTGATTTGTCATAAAGGATAGCAAGCCTTTCACTAACTACTTCACTAAATGAATTTCAGAGTAAACACTGTGATTCCGCAGGTGAATTCTGTAGGTCCTCCTTTCCAATGTTTTCTTCTATTACGGTGCCTGCCACCTTAAGGGCACTTAAATGGTAGAGGATGGAAAGTTAAACGTTGTTTTGATGTTTATTGAATAACAAGATTACAGAAAATTTGATTTTTGTTGTCCGTGTATTGAAAACATTTTTGCATTGATAAATGTTCTCTAGGAATGTGACTACATTCATCAGGTGTGAACTCTTGTAAATGAATTTTGTATCTTGAATCCACGTGTATATTGAGTGTATCATCAATATAAAAATAAACATTATTTGCTTAAAGTTTCTGGCACTTCTTCAGAATTGTTGACAACATACGTGCTAAACTGTTAGGGTTTGCTTCTTTCAGAACATACCTCAGACACTTAGGACTGTCTTGGGGTCGTAGCTTCTATGCTTATTCTTCTGGTTGGTAAGTTTCTTCTGAGTCCTAGTCTTGGTTTTTTCCCTGCCTTGCTCGAAGTGGTCAAAAGTGTCACACGCGGAGGGAGGATTGTTTGGCGGGGATGGAAGCTGCTGACCCTCTGGTCGTTTGGGGGTTTTCAAATGTGCGATTTCAATGTGGAATGTCTGACTTGTCTGGCATCGAGGGGTCCAGACACCGGACGCAGGCTAATTTGCAGTGTAACTTTGAACGAGGCAGTTACCTCTCTCGAGTTTGTTCAACTGTCAAAAGTTGGAGGACCATGAGTAGATAATGAAATGAATGTAGTGGGGCTGCCATCAGCTTGTTTATTTTGAAATGCAGTATATCGGAGTGTATAAGAGTATGATTCCGGAAAATTTTCTTTCAATGGTACATTATGTGCGTCCTGTGTTTAGATATAAAACGTATAACCTGCAGTTGGTCATAGGCACAAAAGTTTAAAAAAACTAGTCACAAAGCGCGAAGACCTAGTTGTAGTTTCCAAAGCCACAGGCTTCTGTGTGAGGAGGGAGGGCACGGACTCGCAGTGATCACCTACTATGCCGTGGCCGGGCGGTTGGGCAGGGCGCAGTGGGATTGGGATGCGGGGAGCGGAACGGAAACTCCCTCTCCGTTCCGCGGAGCAGTGGCCTTAGGATTCAAAGCCCCACAACACACGCTGGCCCCACGGCACCAACTGGGTGCTTTTCCCTTCGGCCACAAGGCTCCTCCCACTCCCCCGCTCCGCACCGCCCCCCTTAAAAAGAAAAAAAAAAAAATAAAAAAAATAAAGGCTTATGGCCACCCTGTCAGCATCCACGGGTCGGGACGCTGGGTGACGTGGCGGGCCGGCCTTAGGAAGCGCCCAGCCTCGCGCCCGCGCCCTCCAGCGGCTCCGGCCCAACCGCAGCCCGGATGATGTCGCCGTCGACCACGGAGACCGCATGCGGGCGCATGCGCGTGGCAGGTCCGCCCCGCGCGCAGCCACTTCCGGCGCGCTGGCGGAGGTGCGGTTCCGGGTCGCTGCTCTGCTCGCCGGCCGGCCGTGGGGGCTGGTGACGCGGGCCGGTGTTCACGAGAGGTCCCGGAGGCGGGGCTCTGCCCGCTGCCCAGAGAGCGGCAGGTGCGCGGGCGGGGGCCGGAGATGTCAGGAGGCCCCTCTTTCTCCCGGTGGCCTCGGTCTGCCCCAGAGCGGCCCGGACGGGGTTGCCCAAGACCCAAGGCGGGGGGCGGTACCGGGGTGCTGAAAGGGCGGGGGTGGGGGCAGAGGGGCTGCCCGGCCGGGGAGTCTGGAGCCTAGGGTGTCAGGATCCCCCCTGCCACCAGCGACCTTGGACAAGTCTCTCCTCCTTTCTGGGTCTCAGTTTCCTTGCTGTCAGATGGGAGAGACGTTGAGTCCCTCTCCCTTCTTTGACAGCCCAAACGCGGGCGGTTCTAGAAGGAGCCTGAGTTGAGTGGGATCCAGACTGGCGTGGCAGGTACCTGCCTATTCCTGGGCGTTAGGCAGTTGTTTTTTTTACCCAGTTTAGCCATTCTTTTTCTCGGCGACGTTCTTAGAGCGAGTCAAGGCTCTGTGACTAGACTGCCCGGATCTCGCCAGGTAAACAGTGTGTGACTGTCAGAATCAACTGAGAAATAAATACTGGCCCTAGGAAACCGTAATCTCATTCAAGTTGTTTTTGCTCGAGTCTCCCAAGGTGAAGTAAATTTAGGCACCAATGAGAGATTCTGTTCTTTGTGCCTATTAGTGAAGCTCCAGGTAGATCACAAATGCAAAGGATTTCTATCCCACTGAGGATTGTGGCAATGATAGGTTCTTCCCTCTGTCTTCTGGTTAATTCTCCCTTTATCCTCTTCCATTTCCCCCAAACATTTTGGCCTTACACTTGAAAGGAAATACCCAATGCATTTTATCTTTGTTTTCATGCAGGACAGAATGCTTTGACCTCCAAGCTGTTTTAAATCTGGTAGATAAGCCAGGTGAGTAGGTGGTTTACAGACATTGGAGAATTGTACAGATTTCCATGGATAATCTGAAGTGGTAAGAAGTCGTTTGTAGATCTCAGAGCAGAACCTCGGTGTCCTCCACAGAACATGGAAAGTTAAGGTTGGAACCAGAATATTGGTGTTTCATACAACACTGGGAGGAAAAGAAGGTTGAATCTCATGTTGATTATCATGTAAAACATTCTGAAGATGAAACTGAGTTCAGGTCATTTTAATCACCCTTAAAGAGAACCATACAGAATTTCTAGGAAATGTTTAAGGGTATCTGATGCTTATATAGGATAAATGTCTGGCTTGCCTGTTTTTTCTAGGTTGTCAGCTTTTTCTAGTCAAGAGCTGATGGCAAACCATCCTTGAACAGTGGAATGTTATACCTTTATCCCCATATTGAGTACATATTTTGTCTTCATCTTAAAAAAAAAAAAAGTAAACTGTAGTTAATATTGGGGGGAGGATTTCCAACCATTATGGGATATTAACATGTACCCTGGGCAATTTTACTATATGTGTTACATGCCATAGCCAACGTGGCATAATAAAGAAAGAGTAAGGACTTGTGAGTCAGAGTCCTGGGTTCAAATACCAGCCCTGCCACTTAAGCACACACTCTTTGGCAGATTACCTCATCTCCTCAAGCCTGGATTTCCTTATCTGTTTATGCACGTGAAGCACCTGAGTGCTTTTAAAATGTTTAGCAGTGTCTTCTGTTAAATGTACATGTAAAATTATGAAACTTAATTTTGAAATCTGAAGCTTAAAAAGCAACTCAGTTCTGAAATCTCTCCTGCGTTTAACTTAGCTCTCTTTCGTCTGATTTATAGATACTGTTCTGTAAGCCCTTGGCCCACACTGAAGTGGGAATGCAGTTTTCTTGGATGTCTGGAACTTTTTAGGCACCAGTCTCTGAAGTCCTGCTTGCTGGCCTAAGGACTAGACTACTGGGGTGGTTCACGAGCTGCTCATCCGTGCAGGATAACCACACAGCAAAAATGTTTGCAAAACTGAAGAAGAAAATTGCAGAAGAGACCGCTGTGGCTCAGAGGCCAGGGGGTGCTACTAGGATACCACGGTCAGTGAGCAAGGAATCGGTTGCCTCTATGGGAGCTGACTCGGGAGATGACTTTGTAAGTATCTTTTCTAATTTTTAATATTTGGTACACTCTTGATATATTTTTAAAATAGTATTTCAAAGAGACTTTCCCATAAGTATTTTCTTTTAAAATTGGAAGATTAGATGGGGTTTATATCTGATTCTTCCTACTCTAAGGTGCTTTTCTGTTTTTTTCCTATTTTTTCAGAGTCCCTTTTCATATTCTCTACATTGTCCTCTTACACTCTTTTTCTACTTTGTGCATTTTCTTTTATATTTCGTTTCTCCAAAAAGCCTTGGCTTATTATCTCTGCAGACAAATATACTTTAAGTCATTGTTGCCTAACATGGTCTGTGAGTTATGGTGTGGAATTAGAGTACTCTATTTTACTAGGAAAGTTGCGGAGAAGACGACACCCCTGACTGCAGTATGTCCCTTATTTGTAAAGGACCTTTGTGTTTGGAAAGATTTCAGAACAATGAAGATGCTGTTGTGTTAGGTAGATCTCATGCCTTAGGATTAAAAGTGTGTCTTTGGCATATGACAGGATCCTCTCAAAGTCAGTTATCTTTTTTTAAAAAATCTTTTACAATATTTGATGTATGTAAAAGAATGTATGTAAAATAACTGTAAAGTATAAAGCATAAAAATAAAATGAATGCTTGTTAATGTGTCACCTATCCAAAGAACTAAAACATTGTGGATACTGTTGAAAGCACTTGTATGCTCCTTCCCAGTTCACTTTCTTCCTCCCTGCCCTCCAGATAACACCATCCTAAATTTTGTGTTTATCTTTCTCCTTATTGTTAAAATATCCTCCCAGATGTGTATATATTTATGAACAATTTGTTGTTTAGTGTTGCTTATTTGTGAACTTTATAAAAATGGTATTCCATAGTATTCTTGAACTTTTTTTTTTTTTAAATTCAATGTGTTTCTAGAATGCATTTGTGTTCCATGAAGCTGTGATTCATTTACTTTTACTGCTGTGTAAGATTCCAACATTTGACAAGGCCACAATTTATCTCTGTCTTTTCCTGATGATAGACAATTGAGTTGTTTCCAGGGTCAGATGAGTCTTCTTCCTCCTTTCTTCTGCTACCTGTCCTGGGTCAGATTACATGGCAGAAGCTCTTGGGTTATTGGGATGGGACAATAAGATTACCTGATATCATTGGCTGCTATATTTAACGGGAAATGTAACGCACATTTGATCCCCAGGCTGAAGGATATAGTTTCAGTGCTGAGTTCTGTGTCAGAAGTACCTGCTTTGCCTTCATGATGACATGCTAAATGAAGTCTGTCATCTTGAAAGTATTCCAGATACAGAAACTGGCCTGAATTCAGAAAGTATTTTCCGTTGAGACTGCTGAAGTAATCTACTTGAACTTACCGTCTCTACATTCTGATCTTCACGCCCTATCTCCAAACCTGTATATCCCACTACATATATTTCTCCAACCAAATGCTCTTCCTCTAGTGTCTCAAATTCTAAAATGAACAAAACTGAATTCTTTAACTCCATCTTCAAATGGGTACCTCCATTCCCCCAAGTCACCAGCAAGAAATTTCAGAAGCATTTTAGACTCTTCCCTCCATTTTTTGGTGTCCAGTCAACAAGTATTTTGGTTTTCCATCTTCTAAATGTCTCAAACTTGCTCTCTTTACTCCATTGCCAGGAGTTCATTTACTTCCATTTTATTTCAAGCTGTCTTTTGTTTTTGGACAACTGTTGTAGCCTATCTGGGCTCCTTGCCTCTAATAACTCCCCAAAGCAGATGTATTCATGTCTCTTTAATGCCTAAAGCTCCTCAGTGGTTTCCCTATCACCTTCAAGATGAAGTTCAAATTCATACATAGTACAGTGGTAAACCCTCATGGCCTTGGCACAGCTTCCCTGTCCAGCCTCATCTCACTCTACTTTGCTAGACCCTGTGCTCCATCCACGCCGAACCTATTGCATTTCTGGAATGCGTTATATTCCTTCGCGCCTACAGCTTTTTGCACTTGTCTCCTGTCTCTGAAATGTCTCATCTCTTCCTTTTGCTCCTGAGTTCCTCTAACAGACTTTGTGCTTCCTTCAAGACCCCACTTACATGTTACTTTCAGGAAGCCCCCTTGACCCGACCTGCCCTTGTCATCCCCTCTACTCCTTACCCCTCCTGGCCAAGTTTGGTCCCTTATCTCCTCCTGACCTCTGTAACAGCACCTGTTTACACTGCATTGTTGGTGGTTTGCTTGTCTGTCTCACTAAACTGGGAGGCTTATGAAAGGCAGTAGAGAGTAGTAGTCAGGAACTCAGGTCAGGTTAAGGAGTCAGACCTAGATTCGATTCCCAGCTTCATTGTTACTGTATGACTTGGGGAAAGTTCCTTTTCTACGCCTTAGTTCCCACATCTGTAAAATAGGAACTATACTTGTCTTATTAAAGCATGGGTGTCGGGTCCCCAGTGTTCATCCTGAGGTTCGATTATTTAAGAGGACTCAGCACGGTTTTACTTACTGCTGTCACTTATTATAGTGAAAGAATACAAAGCGTAATCAGCAAGAGGAAAAGGTGCATGAGGCAAAGCCTGGAGAAAACCAGGTGCAAGCTTCTAAAAGTCCTCTCCCCCTGGAGTTACATAGGACATACTTAATTCCCCCAGAAAAAATTGTGACAGCACATGTAAAATGTTGTCTTCCAGGGAAGCTCCTTGGAGACTCAGTGCCCAGGGATTTTATTGGGGCTCTTCACATAGGCACCGTCGGCCAAGCATTTACCAAAATTCCAGACTCCCGGAAGGAAAACAGGTGTTCAGCATAAACCATGTTTTCGTACACAAACAGATTAGATACATTGAACCTTTCTTATCAGTAATAGTGGGAACCCTTTAAAGTCTAAGTTCCCATAGTTCAGCCCCGGGGCTGGCCTTACAGACAGACCTTGCTAAGAATTGTGATTGCAGGCCTGCAATGTTACCTCTTCTGCCTAATAAATAAAACATTTTGCATAGTGCCTGGCTCTTTAACAGGCATTTCATAATAGTAGCTGCTTCTCCTGCTGTTCTAGGTTGGGGACTCTGTTTCACCACTGTTCCCAGTGCTTAGCACAGCTGAGAAGCGGATGTCTCACTAACAGTAATAATCATAACTTCTAATATAGATAAGTATTGAAACTAATTATGTGCCATTCTCTGTTTTAGGGAGTTGACAAGTGTTAATTTATTTAATCCTCATCACAGCTCTGTGAGATTGATCATGTTTGTTGTCATAGTTTACTTATGATGAAATCAATGCACAGAGAAGGTGACTAATGGGCCCAAGTTCTTATTTTCTAAGTGGTGAGGATGGAACTTTAACCCAGGTCCTTCACCTCCAGAGACTGCCTCTTACGTATAAACTAAACCAAGTCTCAATAAATGTTGGACTGGACAAGTGTTTAGACACATAAGTGAATATTTAAAGTGAATTTTTGGGAGGGCCTGGATGACTCAGTCGTTAAGCATCTGCCTTTGGCTGGGGACATTATCCCGGGGTCCTGGGATCAAGCCCCATGTTGGGCTGTCTGCTCAGCGGGAAGCCTGCCTCTCCCTCTCCCACTCCCCCTGCTTGTGTTCCCCCTCTCACTGTGTCTCTGACAAATAAAATCTTTAAAAAAATAAAAAATAAAGTGAATTTTTCAACCACCTTTAAAGATACTTTGGGTATTAGATGGGGAAACATGACTAAAGACTAGATATTGGATAAAAATTTTTTAGGTGTGATAATGGTATTGTGGTTATAAAGGAAAATGACCTTATATTTGGGAAATGTTTATCAAAGTATTTAAGGCAAAATGTCATATCTGTTATTTATAGTACTTCAGTAAAATAATAAAGCAAATAAGGGAAAACATCAGCAATTATTAAAGTAGATGGAGAACGTTAATTAAACCATTCTCCCTACTCTTCTGTATTTTTTAAAATTTTATAATCCAAAAAAAAAGATAAGTTGTTTGTTAGCGGTAGTAAGCAATGCCCAAAGTAATAGTAGTATCCAGACATTTTAAAATAGATTGTTGTGGGGACATCTGGGTGGCTCAGTTAAGCATCTGCCTTCAGCTCAGGTCCTGATCTCAAGGTCTTGGGATTGAGCCCAAGGCTAAGCCCAAGGCTTCCTGCTCAGCGGGGCATCTGCTTTTCCCTCTCCCTCTGCCACTCCCTCTGCTTGTGCTCACTTACTCACTACCTCTCTCAAAGAAAATCTTTAAAAATTTTTTTTAAAGTAAAGTAGATTGTTGGGGAAAATTAATGTTTAATTAATATATTGATTATTGAATCCAATTTTTTTTTGAGAGATCCCCATTTTATTAAGGAAAACTTAAAATGAGTCCGTATTATCTGGTAAAGTCTTTGATGCATTTAGACGGAAACTTTATCAATGTCGGTGATGAGTTCTTCACCAGCCTTTGTTTGACCCCTTGTTAAAGAACCTTCTGCCCTTTTCTGCCAGGACTTCACCTTTGGAAAAATAAAATGTTTTTCTTTTTTCTTTTTTTAAGATTTTATTTATTTACTTGTTAGAGCACAAGCAGGGGAGCAGCAGGCAGAGGTAGAGGAAGGAGGAGGCTCCCCGCCAAGCAAGGAGCCTGATGTGGGACTCGATCCCCGGGCCCTGGGATCACAACCTGAGCTGAAGGCAGCGGCTTAACGGACTGAGCCACTGAGGCTGATTTTCTTATCACTGAAAATATATTCTTTGTATTATGTACTTGGTGTGATGTGACCATAATGGATTTGTTTGCCACTATTTATTCTAATACTGTGTACACACACACACACACACAGTCCGTTTAGCGTCTCCTACCTTTTCCACGTTGTAGAAGGGGATAGTGTTGCTCCTATGTCACAGGTAGAGAAGCTAGGACCTAGGTATGTTAAGAAGCTCTTCAGTGATCACATTTAAAGTATAATGAAAGCTGAAACAAGAGTTGTTGCTTTCCGGTTCAGTATTGGGGTCTCACATTGCTGAAAACCCCTGTATTAATGTGACCTCTTGTCTGTATTTCAACAGGCTTCTGATGGAAGCAGCTCCAGAGAAGATCTTTCATCCCAGCTCTTGAGAAGGAATGAACAGATCCGGAAACTAGAAGCCAGACTTTCTGGTATGTCTAAGACTTCATGAAAAGCAAGCAAAGAACACTCTCCTTGGCTGACCATCTGTCTATGTCAAATAACGATATAGTGTTACCTTATGGTGATAGTGCTATATATTGACGTAATTCTTAGTCAAAACAGCAATTTGTGCCCTTTTGGTTCCCTCCTTTTGTTAATGTACTGAAGACTGTAAACTCAAAAAGAATAAGTTGGGTTTTTCTGCTCCTGAGGTTTCTAGCCATGGATATAAAAGGTATTAAAAGTATACGTAGACTAGATTTGACGATCTTCCACCTGTTAGCATAGCTGTCAGGGTAGGGGATAGTACTTACAGGGAATGGCCAACAGATGGATTCTTCAGCACCAGAGTGGCTACGTTGCCACTAGCTACAGCTGCATATCACTTGTGTAAGTGTCCTGGGTTTTTAGACCACTTTCCAGTGATACTCAACACCTGTATAGAAGCTGTAACTCTCATTATGTCTTCTGTGTGCAGTTTACAATTTACACAACTTCCATTATATCCTTGCCTGAGCAGGGCACGTTTGTGATAGAGTTGTGAGTTTCTTATTTTGGTTTCTGCCAGCGGACACATTTTGAAAGTTTCATCCTGTGAAGTGGTCAATGGCTTCTGTGTTTCTTTTTTGTCCCTTGGCCTTATGCACCTTTTATTGGAGTGAAAGCAGTAGACTACAAAACTCACCAAATTGTATACAAATACTTGTGTTTGTGAGGTTATCAAAGGTCTGTAGTATAGCTCCCAGCTCCCAGTTGGTGCTCTATCTCCTTTTGTCCTCACTGTAGCCTTACTAGGCTTAGCGAGGTTAAGGTCACCAAAGCAGTAAGTGGTGGAGCTCGGATCCAAACCCAAATTTGCTTGCTAGAGTCCATACTCTTAACTATAGTCTTCTTTAAGTTCAGTTGTTACAATCCGGTTATACCTACTTGTAAATAACATCAGGAACAGAGGTGAAATAACTTTACTTTTGTTTAATGTTGGGGAGAAAGCTACATGCCTTCCCTGACATAGAGACGGAAGAATCATTTGGGCTTGACTAAAATTAGGGAAGGGATAGGACAGAAAAAGGACACTTAGAAAGCCCGGTTGTGTCCTTGGTATCTTCCTCCAAGTTCCATATGAACAACAGCAGCAGCAGGTACCTCTTCCTGAACCTCTTACTGAAGCGTGTCCGCTGCTTCTGGCATAGAAAAACACCTAATTTGTTATCTAATTAGGACACAGAAAGCAGTTTACTAAGTGCGTTTGAGGCCATTGCGATTAATACTATCATTTGCTAAGTAACGAAACTAATACTTGGGATCAATAATTTGCTTACGGTCTCTCGGCTACAGACTGACAGAGCTGGGATTTGGCCCAAGCCTACCTACTTTTCCACTGTACCATACTATTTTCTTTGGCCACCCAGATAATTAATTCTGACTTTCACCTTTAATACAGCATAGGAAGCTCAGTTCCCGTGTAGAAAGGAAGCTGACTTTTCTAGAAAATTAAGTACTTTGAAGGTAAAGACCATCCTGTGGTAAGGTATTTGCTATCGTCCCAACCACTGTTAACTCAGCTGTATGAACTGTGAGCTGTTCATTCAGTTTCTTTTGCCCTATCCTATTGCTAATACTGGAAGGGGAAGTAAAAACGGAGGTTTGAAATTAACGAGCAGGGCATTTCTGATGATCTGACCAGGCCCACTTCTTGCTCTCTATCCAGGCTAAACAAACCTGCCTGTTTGTATTCACCATTTACACCGTGGATGGTTTGTACTATACCTGTTTGCTTGTGTTGTTCCTTGTTAATGGGAGGCTGTCTGCCTAGCTTTCCTTAACAGCAGTGGTTTTCGGGTTGAGAAAATCATCATCATTTTCACTCATTTTTTTTGTTTAATTAACTTCCTTTCCTGATGTTTGTCCATTCCTGGTATGTGCGTCACCCTCCTCACCCAAGACTATGCTGAACAGGTCCGAAACTTGCAGAAGATAAAAGAGAAGCTTGAAATTGCATTAGAAAAACACCAGGATTGTACGTATTTTTTTCCTGCTTTTTTTCAATCTTTTCAGGGTTTAGTTTTTTTTTTTTTTTTTTTTTAATGAAACAATAGTGTATTGGTTAAATTTGTCCTTCATCATAGCTCGGATCTTTTTAAGTGTACTTCTTAGAGTGATAAAACACTTGTCTGATATTTATAAGCATACAGTTCCTGTTAATGTTGTGTTACGGGCATGCTTCTTAGGAGAAGGTCATTATGTGTATCAGTTTGTCTTCATCCGGTTGACCAGTTTATTGGCTGCCCTTAGATTTTAGTAAAATCAGGTGCCTGGCTCTTAAACCTAGATTAGGAGCCTTGTTCTAGCCGTAGCTTCATGCTGCTGTATTCAGAATGGGGGGAAATTTTTGGCTATCATCACTTCTCCAGCAATAGAACATACATTTTATTTAGTCTGTCCTAATTCATATGTTCTCCTTTGGATTCAATCCAAGAAAGATGCTAAAGAAGTTTTCTATCGACATATACTTAAAAAATTTTTAAAGGAAAACGAAGTGAAAGAAAGATTTTTTGTTTTGCGTAGTTTTGAATTTTATTTTTAATTCTGATAAAGTATGCTAGTAACCATCACTTAGCAACAGCGTTAGCCTCTTCTAGCAACCTACCGACTATCATTGTACTGTCGAAAAAGTTACCTCTTGGCATCTTCCTAAATGTATATACTTGCTTATTACCAAAATAGAACAAGAGAAAGCAAAAAAACAACTATGCTCTAATGCTAAGCCCAAAAGATTCTGGGATGATGTTGAGACTGATCAGGTTTTTCCCAGTCTCATTATCCACTTATTTGACCTTGATCTTTTTTGTTAGGTTACAGTTGTAGAATAGTCACATGGGCTATCTGTCATGCCGTTTCTGAAATATCGCCACATCTCAAATACAGCCTCTCTGTTAACAGCTTCCATGCGGAAATTTCAAGAGCAGAATGAGACATTCCAAGCCAACAGAGCCAAAATGGCAGAAGGACTGGCTTTGGCCTTAGCCAGAAAGGACCAGGTATTTTATATGTGACACCCAAGACTGGTGGAAAGATTTCACTTAGTGACATGATTTCAAAAATCATGACGTAAACCTGGTAGAAAATATCTGCAGCCTCGGAGAAAAGGAATGCTCTGTAGTTTACATTTGTAATCGTGAGATGCATCCAGAATATGAGAATATCATTCTGTCATTCTGTGTAACTTCGTAACAGGGAGAAGGGAAATGATGTGTTCTATCTGGTGGCATATCCTAAAAGAAGGGAAATGGTCTCTGTCCTCTAAAATCTGTCTCAAGGCCTAGACCCCTAAACCCCAAACATTTGCCTCTTAGAGTGGAGAATGCTCTCAAGCCCAGCTTCTATGATGTACATAGTTCTTATGGTCTGTTCCCCAGTGTCTTTAACCCCAGTGAATTAGACAGAAGGAATTCCTGTAATCTCGCTAGAACCATCCATTGATAGATGCTGAATGAATAACAATAAGAAAGGAAAATAGTACTATTACCACCTATTACAGTAATTATGAAGTAAATATTTCTTTCGATGGCATTTTAAATTTAAGAAAAACATCAAGATATTATACTGGTAATCTTGATTTATTAAGACAGGATCAATTTATTATGTTTCACTTAAGAATATATATAATTCATCTATAGTTGGTGAGTTGGTTGGTTTTAAAGTGAGTATTTTAAAGGGAGTATTAGGACATTTGCTAGCCAGGAAAAGACATTATTCACCAATACCTATTAGATAACTGTGGTATAAATGTACATAAATTATGATATCATCTAAAATTGGTGAATTCTGATTGTAGGCACTTGGAATACGGCTTTTTGTACCGATGGTTATTTTTCCTCCTGTGATTTGTGAATAAGGGGCATCATATACCAGACGGCGTAAAACATATTGGTAAAATCAAGATAAGAAGGAAAATAATTATCAGGGGCTGGTGAGGATGGTCCCTCTTACCTTCAGTAAATTAATCTCTAAATATCAATTATAGTTACCAACTCAGCTGCCCCAGCTACCCACTCCCAAGAGATAATAGTATTCATGGAAAAACACTCAGGAATAAAGTGAATAGCTGCATCAGAACACCACACTACAGCTTTGTTGGGTGCTTCACTTAGTAAAAATCTGCAGGTTTATATTTGTGTTCTAGAAGTTTCTATAAAATTCATTTTCTTCTCCTTTTAGGACTCTTGGTTCTCTTAATACTAAGCCAACTTTATGGGGTTTTTTATTTGCTGTTTTGATTGGTTGCTTGCTTGCTTTGCAGGGGAGTTAGGTTGTTTTGTTTTCTGAAAACCTTATGTTACTGATACTCTTCCCTGGAAACTGTACTTTTTTGTTGTTTTATTTTAGGAATGGTCAGAAAAAATGGATCAGCTTGAAAAGGTTAGTTCATCTTTTATTTTTATCTCAGTATGAATGTTGGCCTCTCCTCAGGGCTTGGAAAATGGCTTTTCTGGTACCCAGTGTACAGATCGCTCTACCGCCTCTTAGACTTGGGGTGCTGGTTGAGTTGACACTGACTTGAAGAGCTCATGGCTGCCCTTGCTTGAGGGGCATGCTGGATATCTTTCGTTTGCCCCTCCCACTATCCTCTCCTCCCTTAGCTTACCGTTCTCTGTGTCCCTGGAGGCTGATGGAAACTGCGTCAGCCGGGCTCCATTGCCCTCTGGTTTCCAACTGGGTTCTGCCAGTGGGGAACTCCAAAGGAACTGTGGGTGGCTGGGATTTATTCCTCCAGCCTTCTCCATGTGGGATCCCTTCAGGTTAGTTGTATCCCATGGCCAAAGGTCACAGCTTTAGTTGGATATTCCTGGGTCTCTTGTAACCTCTACATCCCTTTGCCCCTTCCTGCCCAACTGTTACTAGCACATTAGCTTTGTGCTTTCTTACCCACCCACAGCTTTCAAAAGTCCCTTTATTAAACTCTTCTCAAAATACCCAATTCAAGACTGCCATCTGTTTCCTGCTGGGGCCCTAATTGGCACTGTGGTAATGTTAGGAATACTTTTTGAGGAGGCAGTGGGGAAGGAGGTCATTTTTCAAGGCTCAGCATTGAGCAGATAAGAGCATTTCTTGGCTAAACACAGACGAGGAAAATTGATTACTCTAGCACCATAGCTTGTGTAACACTGTGTAGGTGTTAATGTAATGTATTCCTGGCTCCCAGACATGAACAGGAAGATGAAATTTCAGGCCTATAGTTAGAAAAACATTTTAATTTAAAAGTCCGCTCCCTCAGCCCAAATTATATGCTGCTACCTAATTCATTTTTTGTTTTCATCAAATACTCCTAAATTACTCTTCATGGTAAAAAATTATTTCTTAGATTGATAAATTCAGTTGCAAAATATATTTACTGTTCGGCCACCTGGGTTGCTCAGTCAGTTAAGTGTCTGCCTCCGGCTCAGGTCAGTATCTCAGGGTCCTGCGATTGAGTCCCACGCTGGGCCCCCCAGGGAGCCTGATTCTCCCTCTGCCTCTCATGAATAAATAAATAAAATCTTTTTTAAAAATTAATTTAAAAACCTCATTTCTAAATATATATATATGTGTGTATACACACACACACACACACGTGTATTTATACTGTTCATTTTATTAAGCAGATGAGTTTTATTGTTGTTGCATTCTTGGAATAAAACTCCAAGTTAAACCAGTTCTCTTTGTGTGTTCTGTAGAAATCTAGTTATCAATTTATCAAAGAATGCTTGAACATATTTTTGTAAGGAAAGAATTACAGAAAAGTCAAGCTATCTCCCAAAGAAACTTGTGCTTAAAAAAAAATCTGAACATGGTGTTAATGATGGTCTTCTTAAATATGGAGGTATTGGTTAGGTTAAAGTTTTCTTTTCTTAAAAGAAACTCATTATAGTAGTTGAAATTCTCATTGAACTATTTTTTATCTTTTAAAATTGTTAAGGAAACATGCAGGACTGAACTAAATAAAACCACCGTCAGTGCACTAAGGCTATCCCCACCCCCTCTCCCCTGCCCTAAGAGGGACTGGGAAATATTTTAGACCCAGAAGAGCAGTGAGACATCTATGTAGGTCTTTGAAGCCACTGTCATTTTTGGAACTGTTATTTTTAGACTGTTTTGATTTCTTTTCAATCAGGAATTAGAAACTGTAGCAGCAGGGTTTGTCCTGAAAATAGTCTATCTTGGGAAGCTGTCATTTAGTAAATTGTAACCTGCTGACACCAGTCATGTCTAATTTTTTTTTTTTTTTAGAATTAAATGCCACCAGACGTAGCTACACTACAAATGTTTTTTTTAAAGATTTTATTTATTTATTTGACAGAGATCACAAGTAGGCCAAGAGGCAGGCAGAGAGCGAGAGGAGGAAGCAGGCTCCCTGCCAAGTGGAGAGCCCGACGCGGGGCTCGATCTCTGGACCCTGAGATCATGACCTGAGCTGAAGGCAGAGGCTTACCCCACTGAGCCACCCAGGCGCCCCAGTTATGTCTAATTTTTGTTGACTTCCTAACTGAAATTGCGAACTGACATCAGTCCTGCTGAAATGCATCTCATTTTTCCGGGTGCTCAGTCTCGCCGCAGTTACTCACGTTGCTCATCCAGTTCAGTACGCCACTGAGAACAAACCGGGAAAATGAGGATCTGCGATTTCTCATCAAACTTAAGAACTGTTAAGTGTCAAGCAGTTGTTGCTCTTACTCCCCTTATTCACAGCTGGATCATTTAAAGCACATTTATTTTTAACTTAAAGAGAGTTAGATAATGCTCTATTGGTCCTATCACCATAAAGCTTCCTGTTATCGACTAATGTCTGCTAACAGGAGAGTTTTTGAAAGATTTTTTTTTTAAAAACTTTATTTGACAGACAGAGATCACAGGCAGGCAGAGAGGCAGGCAGAGAGAGAGGAGGGGAAGCAGGCTCCCCGCTGAGCAGAGACCCCCCCCGATGAGGGGCTCGATCCCAGGACCCTGGGATCATGACCTGAGCTGAAGGCAGAGGCTTTAACCCACTGAGCCACCCGGGCGCCCAAAAGATTTTTCTTTATTAAGTAATCTGCTGGGGGTACGTGGCCGGCTCAGTGGAGCCAGCAGTCCCTGATCTCAGGGTTGTGAGTTCGAGCCCCACGTTGCGGGGAGATTACTTAAAAATAAAATCTTTAAAAAAAATAACAATTCTGCTGAATAAAAATTAAAACTTTCTGTAGATTTTATTAAAAAGCATTCTGCATACATAATACGGATTTGTGGTGTCTTCATTGCCTGAGATGATGTCTTCTTCCTCCAAATAGGAGAAAAGGTTTCTGACAGCTCAGTTACAGGAAGTGAAGAACCAGAGTTTGAATCTTTTCCAAAGGAGGGATGAAATGGATGAATTAGAGGGGTTCCAGCAACAGGAACTAAGTAAAGTAAAGCACATGGTATGCATTTTTATTTTCATAGCTACGTGCTCTATAAATGATTAATTGCTCTGATTTTACTACTTATCACTCTCCATTTGCTGATGAACATACCCTAGTAGTCTTTGATATTAATCATATGTGTTTATTTTTCAATTTATCAAAGTGGGGAAGTTCTGTTTGAAATGTGCTTCCTTTTCCTTTTCTTTCTTACTACCGGGCCCCTTATAAGCCCACAAAATTGTTATGAAAGTTTGACTTGTTTGTCCATATTTTTAAAAATAAGTCTCAGTAGTATTTCTTAGTAGTGGCTCAGTGAAACTTTGTATCTTTGTATCAGCTTTTAAAAAAAGAAGAAAGTCTGGGGAAAATGGAGCAAGAGTTGGAGGCGCGAACCAGAGAACTTAGTCACACCCGGGAGGAGTTGATGACCTCCAGTCAGATGTCATCAGACTTGAGCCAGAAGCTAGAAGAATTGCAGAGACACTGCTCAGCGCTGGAAGAGCAGAGGTTCTTGCTTGGTCTGTGGGGCCCATGGGAAGCGGTGTTAGCTCTGGCTACAGCTTGCCTGCCTCTCCCCACTGCTCTTCGCAACACTTTCTGATCTCAGTTCTGGCAAAGGCTTCTAGACTGTCCTTACCTGCCCAGGGCTTGAGACCCTCCCTCCCCTTCACCTGCCTAAGTTCAGCTTCCAAGCCTGCCAAGTGATTCAGATATGTTTTTGTTTCTAAGCTATTGAGTAACCAAAGGGAGATCACAATTTTTTGCTTAAGCCTGGGTGGAATTTTTTCTCCGAGCTTCTACTTCAGAAAGAGCCAAAGGGTCTTCTCCATTGATAATCTTCCAATGACTAGCATTTGCAGCCCTGACATATAAAGAACCATCTGTATTTTTCCTGTAGAAGAATGTCTCTTAGATGAGATTTCCAAATGTGTTTATTGTCTGCTTTCTTTCAATGAAGAGATCATGTGACAGCTTCAAACACAGGTGCCGAAAATAAGATCTCAGCCCTGGAGCAAAAGGAACAAGAGCTCCAAGCGTTCATTCAGCAGCTTTCCATGGATTTGCAGAAGGTGAGTGGAGTACTAGGAGTGGATCCAGGTTGCTAGGATTCATGAATGGGGTAGAAACTAAATCTGTCAGAAATTTCTGTCTCAGGGTGGCTGCTGAAACTTCTGTTTCTCCTGCAGCCTATGTGACCCTAGTTCCCAGTCTAGCCAGGCTGCCTTCTCATGGGTGGCCACATAGCTGAACAGAAGAGGTCAATGTTGTCCTGGCAGGAAGTCTCAAAGCACGCCATTTGATCTGCTCAGATTTGTCTTTAAGTACTACATGGTGGGCCTTGAACGTAAGAAAATGTAGCATTCGCAGTTGATGTGGCCTAATCCAGTTTGTTCCAAATGATAATCCTTGGGGCGCCTGGGTGGCTCAGTCATTAAGCGTCTGCCTTCAGCTCAGGTCATGATCCCAGGGTCCTGAGATCAAGCCCCGAGATGGGCTCCCTGCTTGGCGGGAAGCCTGCTTCTTCCTCTCCCTCTCCCTCTCCTTGTGTTCCCTCTCTCACTGTGTCTCTGTCTGGCAAGTAAATAAGTAAAATCTGCAAAAAAAAAAAAAAAAAAAGGTAATCCTTATAATTCATTTGTTCATTTGGCCAACATACATTTATTTCCCTCCTATTATAGGTCTGTGCTGTCTTGAGACTATAAAGAATAAAAAATATTGTTATTGACTGTAGACTAGTGTTCCTCAGTGGTATGTTTCTTCCCATCATTTTGAATAGAACAGTTGTACCGTATGATTGTCCCGCGCATTGCAGGACACTCAGCTTTCCTGGCCTCTGCGGTTTTAGTGCCGGTAGCACCTTCAGGCATTGGCAGTCACGCCCTTCCATCATATGAAAAAACACCCCCTGGGGGGTGGTATGACCAACCCTACCCTCATCCCTTGAGAACTGCTAGTCCCAAGTGCAGCAGAAACTTAGAGCATCATTACAGTAGAGTAAGATTTGTGTGAAGAGAAGTCTGTACACCCCTTGCAAACCGTGATGTGTGCCGTGAAGGAAAACTACAGGATGATGTGGGATCTTTTAACGGCATCAGATCAGATCTAGCCTTGGAGTCGGACAATACTTCCCTTGAGGAAGTAACATTTGAGCTGGGGAGGGGCAGTGGGAGAGAATTTGAAGCGAGAACAGTGAGCAGTTTGAACCATAAACCCAGAAACCTTGAGGCAGTAGAAAGATGAGCCCATTCAGGGAACTGGAGGAGAGGACACAGTGAGTGAGAGAAGAATGGGTTGGTTGGGGAGGCAACCATTCAAAGGGTTTCCAGTTAGGAAGCTTTTGTACCTGTCCAAGCATGAGATGGTGGCTTTGACAAGAGTGGCGATGAAGATAATGGGGGAGAGTAGACAGATTGATGAAATCGTGAGGAGACTGACCCACTTGCTAATGTAATGGATGTAGGAGAAGAACAAGAGAAAAGGAAGTTTTGGTGATGATTGATCAACTGAGCGGCTGATGGTGTCAGTCATTGGGCTACGAGTGCCAGAGGAAAGACAGTTTTTTCACAAAGATCGTGAGTTTTTTTTTTTTTTTTTTAAAGATTTTATTTATTCATTAGTCAGAGAGAGAGAGAGCATGAGCACAGGCAGACAGAGTGGTAGGCAGAGGCAGAGGGAGAAGCAGGCTCCCCGCTGAGCAAGGAGCCCGATGTGGGACTCGATCCCAGGACGCTGGGATCATGACCTGAGCCGAAGGCAGCCGCTTAACCAACTGAGCCACCCAGGCGTCCCAAGATCGTGAGTTTTGAGTCAGTTTTTTTGTTGTCCTTATCACTATTGAATAGATGTAACATTTATTTCAGGTAGCAAGTGTAACAAGGTAGTGAACCCCTATGTAGCTAACCCACAGGTTAAAAAGAATAATATGCTTACCTTTGAGCTTCCCCATGTGCCATTCACTGTTCCATCCCATTTCTTTTTATTTTGTAAACAATCTAGAAACTGTTCCGTTCCCTTTTTAGTTTTTGCTTTATAATTTTACTATTATTTTATCCCTAAACTGTATGTATCTTCTGTTGTCTCTCGTGCTTGTTAAAAATTACATAAATTATGCTGTAGGTATTCTTAAAACTTGCTTTTGGTGCCCAACATTGTATTCCTAAAAAAAGTGCATACAGGTCATGCAGCTGTGATTTGTTCTTTCCTCAACTATGTAGTATGAGGTTACCAAAATGTATCCGTTCCATTGACCATCAACATTGCAGTGTTTCTGGTCTTTTACTATTACCAACAAGGCTGCTACGAACTTTCATCTACCTGTGCAAGTTACTCTAGAGTATATTTAAGATGTGGAAAGCTTGGGGGTGCCTGGCGGGTTCAGTCAGTAGAATGTGAGACTCTTGATCTTGGGGTTGTGAGTTCAAGCCCCACATTGGGTATAGAGATTACTGTTTTTTGTGTGTTTTTTTTAAGATTTTATTTATTTGAGAGAGAGAGGGAAAGTAAGAGAGAGCATGAGAGGGGAGAAGGTCAGAGGGAGAAGTGGACTCTCCTTGGAGCTGGAACCCCGATATGGGACTCAGTCCCGGGATCATGACCTGAGCTGAAGGCAGTCACTTAACCAACTGAGCCACCCAGGCACCTGGGTGTGGAGATTACTTAAAAGTAAAATCTTTTAGAGGCGCCTGGGTGGCTCGGTTGGGTGTCTGCCTTTGCCTCAGATCATGATCCCAGGGTCCTGAGATCAGGCCCCACATCAGGCTCTCTGCTTGGCAGGGAGCCTTTAAAAAAAATTGAAAATCTTTTTAAAAACCTTTGTACTTTTTCAGCTTTTCTGGATAATGCCTGTTTTTTTTCCCATAGTATCTATAGTAATTCACACAGTCCCACAGCCGCATATAAGGGATTGCTTGACTTGTTCTCTTTCCTTGCTACCATGGTGTATTATCAGACATTAATTTTTTGCCAGTCTAGTGAGTATGAAATATCATCTCAACGTGATTTTTTTTTAATTTTTTTAAAAGATTTTGTGGGGTTTTTTGTTTATTTATTTGACAGACAGAGGTCACAAGTAGACAGAGAAGCAGGCAGAGAGAGGGGGAAGCAGGCTTCCTGCTGAGCAGAGAGCCCGATGTAGGGCTCGATCCCAGGAACCTGGGATCATGACCTGAGCCAAAGGCAGAGGCTTTAACCCACTGAGCCACCCAGGTGCCCCTCTTAACTTGATTTTAATTTGCTTTTCTCAGATTACTATGAGGTAACACTATCTTTTCATGCTTATTGGTCATTCTTGTTCTTCTGTGAAGTACTCATTCAATTCTTTTGCCTGTTCTGCGTTTTCTTTTTCTCCTTGATTATAGGAGTTCATTATATATATCCTAGCTGCCATGCTCCTTTGTTAGTTATATGGGTCGCAAATGTCTTCTCCCAGTTTTTGTCTTGTTCTCACACCCTTTACGATCTATTCTGATGAAAATACACTCTTAATTTTAGTATAGTTGAATTTATTATTTTCCTTTAAGTTCACACTTTAGCTTTTTTATTTTTATTTATCTACTGTTAAAAAAATTGTTCCCCTGTTCAGTGGGATTTCCATTTCATTTATGTGTTTTTTTAAGTAATCTCTATACCCATCATGGGGCTTGAACTCTATGACCCCCCAGATCAAGAGTCACCTGCTCTACTGGCTGAGCCAGCCAGGTGCCCCCACTTTTGGTTTTTTAAAGAAATCTTTTCTAACCCAGGATCATAATGCTTTTTCCTATATTGTTATATAGGAAGTTTTATAGTTTTGCTTTTTACAGTCAAGTCTTTAATACGTCTAAGCTATGATTTTGGTTTGAGAAGGGGATCTTTCTCTTTAAAAAAAAAAAAAATGTGATACCATGTACTGAAAAATCTGTTTTTTTCTTGCCAGTCTGCAACGCCAGCTTTGTCAGGTTCAGGTTTCCAAATGTACATGGAACTATTGGGCTTCGGGCCACACACCTCTGTGGTATTTGCATGATACTGTACATCACCTTACTAGCTATGGTGTCAGGACAAGTCCTAGTGTCTGATAAGATAAATCTCCTCACCTAATTCTTTTTTTTTTTTTTAAGATTTTATTTATTTATTTGACAGAGAGATCACAAGTAGGCAGAGAGGCAGGCAGAGAGAGAGGAGGAAGCAGGCTCCCTGCTGAGCGGAGAGCCCGATGCGGGGCTCGATCCCAAGACCTTGGGATCATGACCTGAGCTGAAGGCAGAGGCTTTAACCCACTGAGCCACCCAGGCACCCCACTCACCTAATTCTTTTTTATGAGTATTTTGAATATTCTTGGCCCCTTGTTCTTTCACAGAACAGCTTGTCAGACTCCTCAAAAAATTTTTTGGGGATATTGATTGGATGGCATTGAATCTATAGATCTATTTGGAGAGCAGTGATTACTTTATGGTGTGAGTTTTCTTTATCCAAGAACATGGTCTGTTTTTTTTTAATGCGTATAAGATTCTGTGATTTTCTTCATTAAAGTTTATTATTTACTGTTTATTCCTAGGTACTTTATTTTTTTATACCAGTTGCAAATTGTGTCATTTTAAAAATTACTTTTTGGGGCCCCTGGAAGGCTCAGTTGGTTGAGCAACTGCCTTTGGCTCAGGTCATGATCCTGGAGTCCCAGGATCTAGTTCCACGTCAGGCTCCCTGCTCAGCAGGGAGTCTGCTTCTCCTGCTGACCTCTCTCCTCTCATGCTCTCTCTCTCTCTCAAATAAATAAATAAAATCTTTAAAAAAAATAAAAATAAGAATTACTTTCTGTGTTTGTTGCTGGCATATTGAGGTACTATTCTTTTTGTGTATTGTTTATTTTTGCAATTTATTAACTCTTACAAGCTTAATAACTAGTCTACAGATTTTTTTGAGTTTCTTAAGGAGCAGTCATCTGTGAATAATGATGGTTTTGTTTGTTTCAGGTTCTTACACCTTTTTTATTCTTTGCCTTGTTCTGTTGGGTTGTTTTCTTATTGTTGAATTTTAAGAGTTTCTTTTATATTTTGGATAGCAGTTTTTACCAGGTAAGTATTTGCAAGTATTTCTAGTCTGTGGCTTGACTTCTTATTCTCTTGACATTGTCTTTAGCAGAGCAGAAGTTTCTAATTTCAGTGAAGTCTAGCTTATCAGTAATTTCCTTTGTGCATCATGCCTTCGGTGGTTTATTTATTTTTCAGTGGTATATTTAACAAATGATTGCTATACCCATGGTCATCTAGGTTTTCTCCTTCTATTATCTTCTAGGAGTGTTATAGTTTTGAGTTTTACTGTTCTGTGATCCATTTTGAGTTAATTTTTATGAAGAATATAAGGTCACTACGTCTAGATTGATTTTTTTCCTGTGGATGCCATTTGTTCCAGCCCCATTTGTTGAGGAGCTGTCTTTGCTTCATTGTACTGCCTCTGCTTCTTTGTCAAAAATCAACTGAATATATTTGTCGGGGTCTCTTTCTGGGCTCTCTCTTCTGTTCCGCTGATCTATATGTCTTTCACCAATACCATCCTGTCTTGATGACTGTAATTTCATTTAAGTCTTGAGGTCAGGTAGCCTCAGTCCTCCAACTTTGTTCTTCCCCCTCAATATTGTATTGTTTTTTTGTGGGTCTTTTGCATCTCCATAGAAACTTTAAAATCATTTTGTTGGTATCCATAAGGTAACTTGCTGGGGTTTTGATTGGGATTGCATTGAATCTATAGATCAAGTTGGGAAGAACTGATAGCTTAACAATATTGAGTCATTCTACCTGTGAACATGGACTATCCATTTATTTAGTTTTCATTTTTGGTTCTTCTTTATTCATCAGCGTTTTGTAGTGTCCCTCACATAGATCTTCCATCTATTTCATTAGATTATACCTAAGTATTTCATTTTAGGGGGTGCTGATGTAAATGGTAATTTGGTAATTGTGTTTTTTAATCTCATATTCTACTTGTTTATTGTTGGTACATAGAAAGCAGTTGGCTTTTTTATAACAGCCTTGTATCCTGCGACCTTTATGTAACCACTTGTTATTTCTGGGAGTTTTCTGCCAACTTATTTGGATTTTTCTAGATAGATGATCATGTCATCTACTAACAAAGACAATTTTAGGTTTTTCTTCCCAGTCTATGTACTTGTATTTCCTTTTCTCATCTGATTACATTAGCAAAGATTTCTAATACAGTATTAGAAAGGATTGATGAGAGGGGACATCCTTACCTTGTACGTGATCTTAATGGAAAAGCTTTGAGTTTCTCACCATTAAGAATAATGTAGCATATAAGGTGTTGGGGGCCTGAAGTAAAGCACCCAGAGTGGAGAGGGGGGTTTCATATGGGATATGGTGTACAAGAAGACTAAATGGAAATTGGTGACTGATTCTTTTTCTGTCCCTAACTTTGCCTAACACCAAAACTTTGGTTTTCACTGTAGAATCACCTGTATGTCTCAAGTTCACATAGATGTGTAGTAGAATGAGTACAGGCTTTGGCTCCTGAAGACCTGAATTTGATTCTTTAATTTATCACTGGCCCATGCCTTTGGGCTAGTTCCTAAGCTTCAGTGTCCTTATAAATGGACACAGTGAAGGGCTGTCTTAAGGACCAGGGTGCATGGGCAGTGCTTCCTCATACTATGCACACTCTGGCTGCTGCTGCCGTATCCTGCTCCGCATTAGGAGATTACATTGTTAGTGAGAGACCCACCATGACTGGCCGTCATGGCCAAACTGTTTTTCTTCCTATCAAACTCTCTCTCCCTGTCGTCTCTGTTTGGTGTCGTGATATCGTTTCACCAGGCAGCTAAGTTATAGACTTGGAGTTGTCTTTTCCTCTTCTCCTTGTTTCCTAGTCATGCTTAACTTGGCCCTCACCTCTTTGCATGTGCTGCGCTTTACCCAGAATGCTCATTCTGCCCCAACCCCCTTCTCCCTGGGCTTACCTAGTCAAGAGGTCTGAGCCAATTTCCGCAGTTAATCCCTCCTGACTCTGAGAGAGCACCTCATTTGTCCCTGTGTTGCAACGTGACTGTATTGTTTCATAGCTATTTGTGTGTCTGTGTGTCTTTACCACCAGTGCCCTTGCTTCCATGTCCAGAACTTTGTCTGGTTGTATCCTCAGAAGACTACACACAGTATAGACTTGATAAAAGTTTACTGAATTATGGAAACTTGAATCTAGAGAGTTCAATCTCTGGAATCCACTACTGCCTATACTCTCACCCATGTGAGAATTATTTGCTTAAAGACTTTATTGAGAGAGAGAGCACGTGTGCATGAGTGGGGGAGGGGCAGAGCAAGGGGGACAGCAGGGAGTGAGGAGCCTGATGCAGATCCTGGGTCTGGATCTCAGACCCAGGACTCTGAGATCATGACCTGAGCTGAAGTCAGACGCCTAACCCACTGAGCCACCCACGTGCCCCCCTGTGAAAATTTAGAATGGCAAGTGCTTTATCCTAAAACCCTAAGCCCAAGTTGCTACATTTTATTCTAAGGAGAGATTGGCTGGGTTCCAAGCTGAACATAAAAGTCTGTAGCTCAAGATATATCAACAGAAGCATAAAGTGAGGAAGCAGAGTGCCTGTGAGGAGGTACAGGTCTTCACCGTAAGATGTTGATGCTATAGGAACTTTTTTTATTTTAGACTTTTTTTTTTTTTTTTTTTTCTGAGAGAGCACGAGCTGAGGGGAGGGGCAGAGGGAGAGGGACAAGCAGACTCTTCACTGAGCAGGGAGCCCAATGTGGTGCTCAATCCCAGGACCCCGGGATCATGACCCAAGCTGAAGGCAGACACTTAAGCAGCTAAGTTACCCAGGCATCCCCTATAAAATCTCTCTCTCTCTTTTTTTTTTTTTTTTTTTTGAAGAGGAAGAGAATGGGCATCTTCAGTGGATGCAAGGACCACTGGGGATCTAAGAACTTGTGTAATCAAAGTTTCCTGGATCCTCTGCTTTGACGTTAAGCAGCACTAAAAGATTGGTAACAGAGGAACCAAGTCCCGAGCCATCGCCGCCACCACCATCATTGCCTGAGAGAGCCTGAGATAAAGTAGATGGCTGTTTGTTTGGGGCCCAGGTGTGAGGTGTGCAGTGGCTCTGCCGTGATTCCTGTGCTGGGAGGCAGCATGAATGTGATCCTGTGGTTTAGAAGTTCTCTCTTATCCCTTCAGTCACCGGCGCTGGCATCATTACTGCTTCACCCAGCCGCACGTTTCCAGGAACATTGTTCTGTTGATCATTTGTAGGGCTTGTGGGGACCTTCTTGAGTGGGATTACCCCTGCCAAATTTGGCATCTGGGCTAAAGACGTAGGTCCTGTTGGATAGATTAGTAGAATTAAATATGTGCTTAGTGAGAGTAGAGGAAGTAGATCACGACAGTACAAACGGGTTGTCTTAAAGAAGACGATTATCTTCTCAGGGTCTTGGCTGCATTCCACTGAGGTCATAGCCTTGTTCTTTCCCACATCGTCAGTTGCTTAGTTGAATGAGTGATTGTTTCTTGCTGCACAGGGTGGTGCTGGGTTCTGGTCTGGCATCTTCTGTGTCCCTTTGCAAGGAAGATTTCATAGCTGTGTATTCTTCTGAGAGGCAGTTGAGAACAGAATTTCGGGGAAACGTGATGGTCCAAGAGGAGACAGGAAGTAGGAGGGAGAAAGGGGTTATAGTGTAATGTAATCTCTGCTTTCACTTGTAGGCCACTGCTGAGACTCAAGAGAAGGAAATCCTTATCACCCATTTGCAGGAGAAGGTCTCGTCCTTGGAGAAGAGACTAGAGCAGAACTTATCAGGAGAAGAACACGTGCAAAAACTGCTGAAAGAGGTAACTTGGGACAGCCGCTCTCTTGGGACAGCCGCTCTCTTGGGACAGCCGCTGCTGGGGAAGGGGTGGGAATCCTGGAGGTTTCCTACAGTCTTAGAGCCACAGAGCCAGAAGGTCCACAAGCAGCTGGGAGAGACGAGCACTCCCTCTATCTTCTGATTGTCCTGCTTACAGCAAAAACAGTCACCTGTATGTGCCACATTTTCCTCAGCAAAAGGAGAGCTTCATTCAGAGGTGCTCAGGAATGAGTGGCATCACCCACCTGGTGATTTATGCCACTTGGGCTGTCTTATGTTAGCACCCCGTTCTCTTCCACATGCAGTTTCCAGTGGCTGCCTGCCAGTCATCACTGTCTGCCTATGGCGTGAGCAAGAGTTGCCTTCGGCAGTGAGGAGACCCCCCTTCCTGAGCGAGGCTGTTGAGCAGACTGGCCTTTTCCCCAGTGGTGTAGGTGAACTTGCTTTCTTATCAGGCCTGAGCCCATTCTCTGCCCATATTCTGTTCCTCCTCCTCTTTGTATCCAAGTGACTGACCTCACCGTGACAAAGGTGACAAAGCCAAGGCCTTGGGCCTAGATTAGATCCTCACTGTCTTCCTTTCAGCTAAACATCTCCATTTCCACTGCTAGTGTCGTACTTCAGGGCTTCCAGCAACTCTGGGCTAGTCCTGAGCAGGGTCTCCAGACTGGCCTACGCAGCCGCAGTCTCCTCCCTCACCCCCAAGGCAGTCTTCCGCCCCCACCACGCCCACTGCCAAGCTGCCGTTCCTGTCCGCCTCGCTCCCTTAACCTTCTTCCGCAGCTCCCCTGCAGCCTACAGTGTGTCTAGCTTGGGTTTGGGGTGTAAATTGACTTCTAGAATCAGACTATCTAGGTTTGTATCTCGTATCTTATACTTACTAATTGGTGACTTAGGGCGAGTAACTCAATCTTTATTTTCTCCTCTGTGAAATAGGGTGGATAATTGTACCAAACAATAGAATTGTTAGGATTCAAGGAGTTACAATATGTGAAGTGTGTGGAATGAAACTCTAAAACGTAGGAGGGTCTCTGTGTATTTCAGCTCTTAATATCATGGTCCTTAGTATTAGGCCATCGTCATTACTACAAAGCTTAGTGTGCACAGGAGGTACCTGGGCACTTTGTGTAGAGTCTATTCCTGCTGCCAGGAATCCCGTTTTCAGTAGGCCAGATGTTAGACCTCAAGGTTAACAACCACCTACCTCCCTCACCAAGGTAATCTAACCTTGTCCAGTGTGTGGACAACCCCACTTTAAAAAATATTGCCTACCGAATTAAATTCAGACTCTTTCCTGCAGCATTAAAAGGTTCCCATGATCTGCCCCTTTGCCTGACTTTCTAGTCTTACTTCTTGACCTGAATCCACTATTGCTGTAGCTTTTTGCAAGTTGTAGCTCCCCAAATGTCCCGGGCTGTTTCACGACTCCACTGATCATGACTCTGCCTGGGTACTCCCCCTCCACCCACCCCAGGCCACCTGTGAATTAGGAAGCCACCCACTTTCCTGAGGCAGTGAGTGGCCTGCTCTAGGCATTTTCACAGGCACTAATTGCACTCTCTTAATTTTTTTGTTAGTCTTTGCCTCAGGCTCAGGGTCAAAGGAGTATGTCAAATTTATCTATGTGTACTTCATGATATGTGAATTTGTATCTCAGCTGTTATTTTTAATGCCTTTGTGTCCCCTGTGCCTCGAACAAATCACAGTCTATAGTAGACATCAACAAGCATTCAGTGGAAAAATGACTGTTTTCATTTACTCGTCTTTCAACTTACAGAAAACTGTTGCTGAGCAGAATTTGGAGGATACCAGACAGCAGCTCTTGGCAGCCAGAAGCAGCCAGGCCAAGGCCATTGACGTCCTAGAGACTCAGGTACTGACCTCACTTGCAGGGATTTCTGTGTCTGGGTGGTAGCTTGGTTGGACATCACTGGGGGAGAATCCGCGGAGCTCAGAGGTTGTCTTTGGAAGGGACTGTTTTGGCTCTTAATTTCCGCAGGCCCGTGTTACCTTCATTCTTGCCTCATCGGCACCATGGTTCCACATAGCATCTTTTGCTTCTTCCCTTCCATCCTCGTTCCCTTCCCTCCCACTGGAACCCATTCTGATGGAGTTGATACAGATCCCTGTGTGTGGGGTTACCTTAAAGTGGGCGGCCTTGCTGTGTGCGCTCATGTGCAAGTTATGTAAGCGCTGCCGTGCTACGCACATGGTCCCCTTCACCCACTCCGCTGGGTCTGTGCCCACGTCACTGTGCTCGCTGCTCTACCTGGTGGCTATCTACCAGATGCCGGACATCCAGCTTGCCGCAGCTGCCGCCCCCTCTCCCCACAGGCTACACTGCACCCAGCAGCCTTGTCCCTGTCACCTCCAGGACAGAGAATGCCCATGACCTGATGTGACTGAGTAGGACAAGAACATTCCTGCAGGGGCTGCCCCATGCTCTACTCCCCCAGAGCACGTGCGGGGTTCTGCATCTGCATGGCTGCCTCGTCCAGCCATTTGTTTGTTTGCCAGTGGGTGAGGGTGAAGTGGTGGAAGGGGTAAGGGATCTTACGATCCTTGTTCTTACGAACGAGGTGGGGCCTCGTTCCTAAGGGCCCTGATCCCATCATGTGGACTCCACCCTCCTGACCTAAGCGCCTCCAGAGGCCCCACCTCCTATTACCTTCACATCGTCACTTCCGGCCTTAGGATTTCCACATGAATGTGGGGGCATGCAAACACTCAGACCAGAGCAAATACTTAGCTCATTTTTAAAATCTTATCCCCTGATAAATATGCGTGAAGCTCTGTATTTCTCAGTACAGCTTGCTTTGTTTTATTAGAATTCAGTTCTGGGGGTGCCTGGATGGCTCAGTGGGTTAAGCCGCTGCCTTCGGTTCAGGTCATGATCTCAGGGTCCTGGGATCGAGTCCCGCATCGGGCTCTCTGCTCAGCAGGGAGCCTGCTTCCCTCTCTCTCTCTCTGCCTGTCTCTCTGTCTACTTGTGATCTCTCTCTGTCAAATAAATAAATAAAATCTTTAAAAAAAAAAGAATTCAGTTCTGTTTCTGAATATCTGTCTTTTTATTGCAATAAAATAAACATGACATAAAAGTTACCATTTCAGCCGTTTCTAGGGTACAACTCAGTGGCATGAAGCACATTCACACTGTTGTGTAACCATCACCGCCATCATCTCCAGAACATATTCATCTTCTCAAACTGAAATTCTGTCCCCGTTAAATACTGACTTCCCACTCTCTCCCACCCCCAGCCTGCGCAACCACCATTCTACTTTCTATCCCTATAAATTTGACTACTCTAGTAATCTCATATTAGCGAAATCATGCAGTATGTGGCCTTTTGTGTCTGGCTGATTTCACTTGACATATGTTTTCAAGGTTCATTCATGTTGTAGCATGTGTCTGAATTTCATTCCTTTTTAAGGCTGAATAAGCCCTTTTTTTAATTTAATTAAATGCCACACCACACATGGGGCTCGAACTCATGACCCCGAGATCATGAGTCATATGCTGTACCACTGAGCCAGTCAGGTACCCCAGGGCTGAATAAGTCTTTTTTTAAAAAGCTTTCATTCCTTCATATGTACCATGTTTTGTTTATCCCTTCATTTGTCATTTTTTTTAAGATTTTGTTTATTTATTTGATACAGAGAGAGAGCTCACAAGTAGGCAGAGGGGCAGGCAGAGAGAGAGGGGAAAGCAAGCTCCCTGCTGAGCAGAGAGCCGGATGTGGGGCTCGATCCCAGGACCCTGAGATCATGACCTGAGCCGAAGGCAGACACTTAACCTACTGAGCCACCCAGGTGCCCCCAAACCCCTCATTTGTCAATGGTTTTTGGGTTATTTCCACCCTCTGGCTACTGTGAATAATAAACATTAGCGTAGTGCTATGAACAAGATTTTGGTGTGAGCTTTTACTTTCATTTCTCTTGGGTTTATACCCAGGAATGGAATTGCCAGGTCATATTATAACTCTGTGCTTAATCTCTGGAGGATCTGAATCTTTCTTGAGTGCTTCCTTGAAGTTCAGACTTGGGTAGCTGCTTTCTGAACCCAGGACTTTAAAAAACTAGGCTTCAGTTCTGGCTCTCCCACTAATAAAATTCGTGATCCTGGATGAGTAACATTACCGTCCTCCTCTGTGGAAATAGTGTTCTCCGGGGGTTGCTTCAGCTCAGTCTTCCATGTGAATGTTTATGAGGAACCATGAGACCTGAAAGTATCCTTCCCTCATTCGGTACCTACTTCCCCTTGACAAAGCTGCAACCTCCCTTGTGTTTATGTTTTAATAATAAACTTCCTCAAGGTCAGACCTTATTCAACAAACAAGAGGACTTTACCAGGGAGATGGGCAAAGGTGGCTCAAACCCGATCAGAATGCCCCGTTGGAGAGCCACATCCAGCGGGGTGGACCGGGTGTGGTCCTGTCTGCGGGACGGCCGCCCGCCCCACTGCCAAGTCAGACGGGCTGATGTCTGTGGAATGAGTGAAAGTTTGTGCCACGAGCAGTCATCCCACTTCCGGGGATGTGTCCTAAGGAAGTGGCTCAAACCAGGTCACCGAATGTTGGGTGAGGACGTTCACTAATGGGTCGTCTCAGATGGGCAAGCGGAACCGCTGCAGGGCCAGCACCGGCGGCCGTGGTTCAGTGGATCGTGAGGTGTCCTTGAGACAGACGATCTAAGTTCTGAAGAACACGTGGGAACGCAGAAGGAACCTTGAGTGAGGAGGAAAAATGCATAGTTTTCCTAGAGTTGTGTACAGAGTTGTTTAAAAAAAAAAAGTTATAAAAATGCACCAGAGGAAAAGACGTTAGACTGGTGGCATTGCAGAATGGTAGATGTATCGGTGTCTTTTTTCTAACTTAAAACTTTTCTATAATGTACCCGTTTTACGATGTAAATGGATTTGATTTTTTAAAGCCATTTGTTAACCACGCTTCAGCTTCTTTTGAATGAAAGAAGGCTCCTCTTCCCCCTCAGGTGAAGGAACTCGAGCAGAGCTTGCTGGCGTCGGAGGAGAAGCTAAAGCACAGCAGGGATGTTGCGGCGGCCCAGGAGGCTCGGATTCAGGAGCTCGTAAGTGGTTCTGGGCCCCCAGGGCTTGTCCTTTACGCCTTTGCCGCTGCCCCAGCTCTCTCCGCCGAGGTATCTGGACCCAACCTTCCATGTGGTCGTGGCGCTGGATGTGAGCAGGTGGGCAGTGCGCGTGGGGCGAGTCAGGACCTGCTGGCGGAGCCCGGTTACCCCAGGAGGTGGAGCCTGATTCCCCTCTGATGGCTGGCCAGAGGGCCCAGCCTCAGTCTGGGGCTGTTAGAGGCGTGGCTCGCAGCCAGGGCTGCGGAGAACAGGTCCCGGGTCTGGGGAGAACATGGCAAGGGCTTGGCCAGCCGTCGCAGCCCCACGTGGGGTGTTGGGTTAGAAACTAGAGAGCTAGAGAAGTATTTACTGCATGTTTGCCATTCCAGCCACTGTGCCGAGTATCCTGCCCGTGTTTCACTCAGTCCTTGCTGCAGACCTGAGGGCTTCGTGCAGTTGGCCTCATTCTCTAGAGGATGCTGGTTCGGAAAAACTGGATCAGTAACCCAGTGGTCATGGTGGTGTCCCAGCTAGTAAATGGCAAAACCCTCACTTTCTTAGGTCAAAGCTCTTGTTCACCATCGCTATATTATACAGATAGTCCCTAATTTATGATGGTTCAGCTCTTTGATTTTTCGACTTTATGAGATGCAAAATCAGTATGGCTTCAGTAGAAACTGTACTTAAATTTTGAAGTTTAAGCTTCTCCTGGGCTAACGATGGGCAGTCCAGTACTCTCCCTCAGTGCCTGCCAGTGGCAGGGAGCCCCGTCTCCCAGGCTGCCACACGATCACAGGGTAAACAACCAGTTCTGTACCTGTACAGCCTTTCTGTTTTTCACTCTGAGAACAGCATTCACTAAATTACATGAGCCATTCAACACTTCAGGATAAAATAAGCTTTGCCCAGCTGTAGGCTAACGTAAGTGTTCTGAGAAATTTAAAAAAATTTTTTTTAAAGATTTTATGTTTAAATAATCTCTCCACCCAGTGTGGGGCTCAGACTGAGAACCCAAGATCGAGCCACATGCAGTGAGTGACTGAGCCAGCTGGCGCCCCCGTTCTGAGCATTTAACGTAGGCTAGGCTAAGCTGTGATGCTTGTTTTGACTTCATATTTTCAACTTAACAATGGGATTATTGGGCCGCAACCCCATCATAAGTTGAAGAAGATCTACACCGCCTCCCCAGGAAAACCCTCAGTCGTCAAAGTGAGCACCAAGTAGGGTGAAGGAGGGCTGTGTCTTCAGACTGGCTGGTGTCCTGAGGTGTTCCCCCAGCCCTGAGACCAGTCCCAGATGTCAGCTTCTGAACAGGCCAGGGGCAGTAGACAGAGCTGCAGGTGGGGACCTCAGCAGCACCCAGACCAGAGATCAGGAAGGAGAGTCGTTTCTACTGGACACCCCTCTTTGGATTGCTGAGGGAGAGAAGGGGTTCCTCGTCATCCCCATGGGTGCCTGTCCTCCCCCCGCATAGGCCGCCGCAAACAGGGAGAGCGGCCTGACGCAGCAGCAGGCGCCGGCTTGGGAGCAGCAGGGCATGGAGCGCGTCCGCACGCTGGAGGCCCAGCTCGCTGCCCTGGAGAGAGCGCGGGCGGCTGAGCAGACGGCCGCGGAGCAAGAGGTGGTGAGTGGGGAGGAGGGTGAGGCCCGGCTGGGAGCGCCGGCTTCCTGCGTGCTGGGCAGCCAGGGCATTGACTGGAGAACAGCCCCCGCTCTGAGCGAGGGAACCACTTTTTGGAGCCATTTTCATCTTTGCAGCAAGGCACCTGCTCATGAGATTGGCTGTGAAAAGGCTGCTTTTTCTCAAACCCCAAACAGATGGCTTTGCTTTTCTTCGGGGCAGCGCAGGGACTTGCTGGCATTTCCTGAGCAGCCCCTTCAGCTTCTTCCCACTGTGTCTCCGCAGTGTTCTGGTTCCTCTGGCGTGGTCTCGCCCTCTCTCTGGTCCCCTCCCCGTTCCCCGTCTTCCGGGTTAGGCGCCATGTTTCTTCTTGCGAGGCCTGTGTTGGCCGGTTCCTCCTGACCCTGCCCCATTCTTGTCCCCCGGCCCTGCAGTGACACACAGGGTGGGGGTGCATTTTAAAAAGGCCCTATGTATTGGGGCACCTGGGTGGCTCAGTGGGTTAAGCCTCAGCCTTCAGCTCGGGTCATGGTCTCAGGGTCCTGGGATCAAGCCCCGCGTCGGGTTCTCTGCTCGGCAGGGAGCCTGCTTCCTCCCTCCCTCTCTCTCTGCCTGCCTCTCTGTCTGGTTGTGATCTCTGTCTGTCAAATAAATAAATCTTTAAAAAAATAAAAAATAAAAAAATAAAAAGGCTTCGTGTCTGTAGGACGGTGCCCTGGAGAAATAGGGTAAAGCCTTTTCTTCTCACACATGCTTTTCTCAATTTGCAGAGACATCTGGAGCAAGAAAACGCAGCCCTCAAAGAAAGTAAGAATGAATGTGAACGTTCTTTACAACACCACCAGCTTGAGCTGAAGAAGCTAAAGGTATTTATCTGGTGGCGCCAGCGTGTCACGGCAGTGGCCTGTCTTTTACGTGTGTGTTTGGGGCAGCCCAGGGAACGTTCTGTACTCCAAGTGGAGAGGGTGTGAACTAGCATTTGTTCAACAGTTCTCTTAGACGTTTGCTGGAAATTGTCACCTCATTAATTCCTCTTGATGATCCAGGATGGTAGGAAGAATTAGGCTCATTTAGTACTTAATGTCATTTGAGGCTCTGAGGAGAAGTAATTTGTCCAAGTTCCATGGTTAGTTCGAAGCGATGCTGGTCTGACTTCAGCCCGCTCCCCCCCGGGTCACCACCCACACGGCCTGAAAGTCATGCCGTCAGCACCAGCGTCATTGAGCTTTCCCGTGGGACCAGGGAAGCACGGACTCAAGTGGTCGTAAGGACCTTACCCGTTTCTGTCGGAGGCCGTGTGTAGAGATGAAGGGACAGTCTTCTGGACTGTCCCTTTCCCTCCTGAGAACTTGGCGCTTTCATCAGACGTCACCCGCGTCTCTGCCTGGACATAGCTGGATGCGAAGGAAAGAGAGTTTCTGCTGCTTCCGTAGAGGCCTCCAGGCTCCTCTGTCCCCTTTCAAAGGAGCCCTTCGATGATGGATCATCGCAGTGCTTGCCCCACTTGGTCATGACCCAGGGATCTTGGGGGACTTTTGGCAGAGGCCTTCTCAAAACATCCCCCGCTGCGGGTCTGCATGAAATCCGCGTTCCGAACAGTCTCGGCTGCGTGAGGCCGCCGCTCGGGCGGAGGCGCCAAACCGTGGGAAGCCTGTGCCTTGGGGTCCGAGCTGTTTCCATGTGTTCCTTCAGCAGACATTGCAGTACGGGTAGTAACCACTCTAGGTGCTGGGATAGGAGCAAAACAGGCAGAACTTTACCCCTGTGGAGCCTGTAACTGGAGACGGCAGCCAAGCAGTGGTCCTGGTTGCTGCGGAGAGTAAAGCACAGTGAGGGGCAGAGTAGGGAGGAGGGGGCTCTTGTAAACCGGGGGGTTAGGGAGGGCTACAGTGGTATTTGAGCACAAGCCCTGAGTCATGCGGTGTGCACGTTTGGGAAGGGAATAGTCCAGACTGAAGAAATAGCAAATAGAAAATCTCTGAGAAAAAAAAAAAAAAAGAAAAAGAAAATCTCTGAGGCAGAAAAAAGTTTGTTCCAAGAACAGCACAAAGGTCAGTGTGGCTGCCGCTCAGTGGGCTGGGGGAGAGCAAGATGACAGCAGGCAGGCAGGGAAGTAGTTGCAAGGGTTAAGCAAAAAAGTGCTGGAAGAAGTTTCGTGCGGTGTTTCATTCTGTTTGGTTTTGGTGAGCAGCAGAGTTTGATACGAAGCTCCTGAAGAGGGATGGGGCCTGAGAGGGTTGAGGGAGACGTTTTGTATTAAAACAATTACTCTGGCTCTTTGTAGAAAAATGTTCTGGGAAGGAAGCAAGTAGAGAAGGAGGAAGACCTGTTAGGAGGTTCAGATATTAAGTCACTTACTATGTTTAAGGGCATAAAGTTGAAAAAAATTGAAAATTTCAGCAGAGATTTGGGAAATTATTCTAAAAGACAGTAGTGTTTAAAGAGAAACAAATTAGAACGTCAGAGCCAGAGAATGTAGAGCTGGAACGAAGAACGTGGTAGACTCCAAAAGGGCACACGGAAGCTTTCGGAGGTAATGAGTATTTTCGGTTTTTATTGTGGTGATGGCTTCACCCGAACTCACCACATTGTGCAGTGTGGTGTTAGTTATATTTCAGGAAAGTGATTTAAAAAAAAATACGTTTTAAAAAAATATGTTTAAGAGCCAATTAGAACTCGAGAGAATTAGTGAAGTGGAAAGAAGGACAGAGAGAAACACAGGAAAGGCATGATAAAAGACAGGATCCTGGGAGGTGCCTGAGCCCAGGTCAGTGGGAGCTCAGAAGGGAATGCACAGGTGAGACTGAAACTGAGTTTTTGTTTTTTTTAAAGATTTTATTTAGTATTTAAAAAGACATAATATTTTTTTAAGATTTTATTTATTTGACAGACAAAGATCACAAGTAGGCAGAGAGGCAGGCAGAGAGAGAGGAGAAAGCAGGCTCCCCGCTGAGCAGAGAGCCCGATGCGGGGCTCGATTCCAGGACCCTGAGATCATGACCTGAGCCGAAGGCAGAGGCTTTAGCCCACTGAGCAACCCAGGCGCCCCCCAAAAAGATTTAATTTTTGTGAAGATTTTTATTTATTTTAGAGAAAGCTGGCACGAGCTTTGGGGGGAGAGGCAGAGGGAGGGGGAGAAGCAGACTCCATGCCGAGCTGGGAGACCAATGTAGGACTTGATCCCAGGATCCTGGAATCATTACCTGAGCAAAGGCAGATGCTTAACCGACTGAGCCACCCAGGCATCCCTGTTTATTTATTTTAGAGAAAAAGCAGGGAGAGCGGCAGAGGGAGAGAGAATCCCAAGTGGACTCAGTGCTGAGCACAGAGCCTGATGCTGGGCTCGATCTCACAACCCTGAGATCATGACCTGAGTAGAAACCAAGAGTTGGACACTTAACTGACTGAACCCCCATGCGCTCTGAGACCAAAGCAGTTATTGAAGTGATAACAGCTAAGAAGTGTCTAAACGCCTGAAAGCTGTCAGGTCACTGGCACAGGTGTGAGGATTCTTACAAATCCAAGTAGGGTGAATGTCATTTTTTAAATTTTCTTCAAAGATGTTATTTATTTATTGATTGATTTGAGAGAGAGAGAGCATGAGCCAAGGGAGGGGCAGAGGGAGAAGCAGACTCTCCACCAAGCAGGGAGCCCAAGGAGGGCCTCAGTCCCAGAACCCTGAGATCATGACTGGAGCCGAAGGCAGATGTTTAACTGCCTGAGCCACCCAGGTGCACATTAGTTTCTAATTTTTTTTTAAAGATTTTATTTATTTATTTGACAGATGGAAATCACGAGTAGGCAGAGAAGCAGGCAAAAAGAGAGGAGGAAGCAGACTCCCCATGGAGCAGAGAGCCCGATGCAATGCGAGTCTCTATCCCAGGACCCTGGGATCATGACCTGAGCTGAAGGCAGAGGCTTTAACCTGCTGAGCCACCCAGGCGCCCCAGTTTTTAATTTTTTTAAACTTTATTTATTTTGTTTTAGTAATCTCTTTCCCCATTGTGGGGCTTGAATTCATGACCCCTGAGGTCAAGAATCACATGCTCTTCCAACTGAGCCAGCCAGGCACCCCTAGGATAAATTTTATTTATTTATTTATTTATTTATTTATTTATTTATTTTTAAAGATTTTATTTGTTTATTTGACAGAGACCACAAGTAAGCAAAAAGGCAGGCAGAGAGGGGGAAACAGGCTCCCTGCTGAGCTGGATCCCAGGACCCTGAGATCATGACCTGAGCCGAAGGCAGAGGCTTTAACTCACTGAGCCACCCAGGCACCCCAGGATAAATTTTAAAATCTGTACCCAGACACAGCATGCAGTAGAACTAGAAAAACCAATAAAACAGAAACAAGGATTTAGTCACCAACAGATTTGCACTAAAGGAAGTACTAGAGAGCATCGTTCAGGTGAAGGAAGATTCTAGATAGACACGGGTAAGATGTAAGGCAGTAAGAAAGAATGAGAAGCAATGATCATTGCAACTAATGTACACAAGAAGAAACAGAAAATTTGTCCTGCAGTGTGTCCATCATGGTCCAGTCAGGGGAAAGAACCATACCGGTTATTTGAGAATTTATGTTCTCATGTAAGTTTTTCACAGAAGCGGTTACAAGCTATCACAAAGGTAGCCACTGCAAGAATGGCTACAACTTAGGGAACAAAGCAAAGAAGGTGGAATTATGGAGTGCCTGGGTGGCTCAGTGGGTTAAGCCTCTGCCTTCAGCTCAGGTCACAGTCTCAGAATCCTGGAATCGAGCCCTGCATCAGGCTCTGTGTTCAGCGGGGAGCCTGCTTCCCCTGCCCCCCACCACTGCTCTCTGCTTGCCTCTCTGCCCACTTGTGATCTCTGTCAAATAAATAAATAAAATCTTCAAAAAAAAAAGGTGGAATTATTAGGAATTAAGACAAAGAGCCCCACAGGTCTGACACACAGACCTCTGAGCGAGGGACGCTGTTCGGTGGGTGCCTAGTGTGTGTCGCGGGAACAAGGCAGAGAATGAAGTCAGCCCCACTCTTGGGAAAAACCTGCTGCCTCAGGACAAAATTGCTTCTGGCCCCGTGAAGCAGCCTTGCTCACAGAAACCAAAGCTGACAGGGGGAGCAAGTCTTTTGCTCTGTCCCCGTGCCTTCCAGGCTCCCTCGAGCTCCTCCTGTTGGCGGAGACTCATATGGAACCAGCTCCATGAGCAGAAATGGGGTTTGCTGAGTCCCAGGCATAGCAGGGCAAAGCAGAATATAAAAGGGGGAGCGAGGTCGGTAGGCAGTAACTTGAAAAACCAGCACACCCACACAGGTCGTTAGGAAGTGTGGTTCATTTTCGCACGCTTGGGGAATGTTCTCAATATCTTAGATTTCTAGTTTAATACCATTATAGTCAGATAACACACACACTGATTTCAGTTCTTTGATATTTATTGAGGCTTGTTTTATGACCCAGCCTATAGTCTGTCTGGGGAAATATTTCAGCGCCCTGCGGCTGTGAGGGGAAAGCGTTCTCTAAGTGCCCCTTAGATCAAGTTGGGTGAAAGTATTGTCCAAATCTCTGTGTTTTCTGATTTTTCTTTTTTTGTCTTCCTGTTGCATCAGTTAGTAAGGGTGGCGTGCGGATTTGTCTCTTTTTCTCTTTCATTCTGCCGGTCTCTGCTTCAGGTGTTTGGAAGCACTATTTTTAGTGCTTTTTTTTAGGTGCATACATATTTTTTTTTTAGGTGCATACATATTTAGAATTCCCTCAGGGAAGGCATTCCCAGGTGCAGAGAGCTGCTGGAGGCGGGGAGCCCGGTGACAGGCGCCACGCTGAGAGGTGCCCGGGGCCTGAGTCCCACAGTCCTGGACCGGATGTGGCTCTGTGGCCTCAGTGTGGACCTCACAGCCATGTGGACTCCGTTCTGCGTGCCAGCTGGCCCCTCACTGGCTGGTTCTTGAGGGAATCTAATTTCCTTTTTTTTTTTTTTTTTTTAAACTGAACCTGTTTCCCCTTGCCTTCAAGAGGATTAGCCTGAGGGCCCAGTGTGACCTGAGGAGGAGTGCCCCGGGCGGTGCCTGGCAGGGAGGGGCTTTGAGTCCAGTTCCTGCCCTCAGCTGCTTTCCTGGCCTTCCCTCGGTCGGCCTGCCGGCCCTCTCAGACATCGGCGGTCAGAGCTCCCCTCTCACTCTCCCCAGTAAAGGCTTCTGCCCTCTGACCCCACGGGCCAGGGTTTCAGAGCTGCATCTTCTTTGTCAACAGAGCCACCCCTGATGAGAAGGGGTGTTGTCTGGGGGTGGGGCAGGGTCTCCCTCCTCTTGAATTCAGGCGCCCGTTCTTCTCGTCTTTGCTAGAGATGGACTCAACGGAAGGTCAGTTCTGACAACTCCGTAGTTGGAGTCAGAACGCCCCTGGCCAGGAGGCTGGCCTCTTCCTCCACGAACCACCTTGTACCGGCATCAGTGGAAAGGGAAGTGTCTGTAGGGGAGATAAGTAGCTCATAGAACCAGAAAGACCTGTCCGACAGGAACCAGGGGGTGCGGGTCCTCAGGTCTCTTTTCTCCCTGTGTCATGCTGTTTCCTACCCTGTCAGTTACCCAAGCTGTTGGCCTTGCTTCTCCACGATGCCCACTGCGGCCGACAAATTGAGTGGACATCACCACAGCAGCGCCAAGCTGGTAACATGCCAGCTCCGGAAAGAGGGCTTCTCCCCTGAGGCTTCACCTTATAAAAAAGGCATTTGATATAACAAGGAACTTTGGTCCCTCTGAGGTGACAGAGCCACCCCTTGGACGGGTCAGTTTGGCCCGGGGCTGCAGTACCGTGATTGGCCAGGTCTGAACCACATGCTTATCTCCGTGGCCACAAGATGGGCGTATCGGTACCGGCAGCCCTACCAGCACCACCTGGAACTGCAGGGTGGAAATGGGGAGGAGCAGCGATGAGGCTCTTACCCCAGAAATGCAGTGATCCTGGGTTGACTGGAAAAACAGACTTCTCTGACCTAAACAGAGGCACCTGAGAAGTCTGGGAACTGAGCAGTGAGCCCGGCATCTGTCGCAGGAAAGAGGACTGCTGTGTTTGTCAGGAGATAGTTCCTATGCTCTGGGGAAGGCTGAGGAGGCAGCCCTGGTCCACGTAGGTAATATTCTGGGTGGTGGAGTCTGAGCTCAGGCAGATGCTGGCTTGCAACCCGGCTGTCCCGCTAGCTGTGGGACCGCAGGCACATGAACCTCTCAGAGCCTTTTTCTCTTCTATAAAATAGATAATTTTGATGAGTTTGTGGTATTTTGTCCTATTACAGTTCAGTAATTGCTTCTTATTTTTCCCTGTAATTGGGTTGCTCTAGTCCGTTCAGTTGGGCTTAGGAGTCTTTCTTCTTGTCCTATGTTGATTTCATTAGACCAGTTCTTCTCTTCAGGTTCTCGGTCCCCTAACCTTGGCCCAGGAACTGATGGTTGACCCAGGGGATAACCAACCCCCCGCAGTGTGCCCATCTGCGGAGAGGCCGGTGGGTTGCCCAGCAGGACAGTTCCTGGAGGGATACAGAAGGCATTGCGGGGAGAGGGCAGCCTGGGCCTGGAGAAGCAGGACGAACGTTAATCTGGCCCTGTAAGACCGTATCCTTGATGGGCTTCGGGTGGCGCAGCTAAAAACTGTGGAATGAGTTGTGAGACGCAATCTCCTACCTGTTTTCTGTATCATAGGAAGAATGGAGCCAAAGAGAAATCGTGAGTGTGGCCATGGCTCAAGCCCTGGACGAAGTGCGGAAGCAGAGGGAGGAGCTCCAGCAGCAGGTAGCCCCTCCGGACGTGGCGGTGTGAGCCCTGGGGTGGGGTGTGCCAGCCTCAGTAGGACCAGCCTACCTCCCTGTGTGTCCAGGACGGGTGCTGGACCTAGGTCTCAGGAATGCCATCCCCTGAGTGATTCCCCTGAGGTCTCTAGAAAGGTAGGAGAAAAGTGTTATAAAGAAAGCCTCACCTCACAGGATAGGCCTTTTTTGATTTTTGATGGTCAGTTACTGTTCTAAAGCTTACCTGGAGAAAAGTCATATCCGGGTACCTATTGGGCTCTAATTTTTTTTTAATTTTTTTTAAGATTTTATTTATTTGACAGAGAGTACAAGTAGGCAGAGCAGCAGGCAGAGGCAGAGGGAGAGGGAGAAGCAGGCTCCCCGCTGAGCAGAGAGCCCAATGCGGGGCTCGATCCCAGGACCCTGGGATCATGACCCAAGCTGAAGGCAGCCGCTTAACCGACTGAGCCACCCAGGTGCCCCGTTACTGGGCTCTTAATTCTGTGAGGGGCCAGCACTGGCCGCAGGCCCCCAAGACCATATAATAAATACAGTTGAGCTGTCAGTGGGAAGGGTGGGAAACGCCTTCCTTTTCAGATAGACTCAGTGTCAGGTCCCAGACCTGGTAGTTGATGGGCCCTGAGCCTTCAGTAAGTCCTTAACAAATGTGAGTCTTACCTGCCTCTGGAAAGACTTTAGGATAATTACACCTTTCAGGAGGCGTAACAAACCTGTGACAGGGTCACGTGTATCAAATGCCAGGCATGTGGCAGGCAGTCAGGACCCAGAAGGCCAGGCAGAGCAGCCACATGTCCAGGAGGCCCAGCGTAGGCCAGGTGGGCAGCGAGGCCCCGGCCCCTCGCGTGCCAAGACTAGCAGAGCTGAGCTGGCAGGTGTTCCAGGCTGTGGACTGCAGGGAGGGATACATGGGGCCCCTTCCACGAGTAGGGGGAAAGTAGAGATTCCTTCTGGGGGAAACAGGGTGACTGCTGCCAACCTCGTCATGTTGGTCTTTCTGTCCAAGGCTGCTGACCTCACAGCTGTCATAGAGGAGAAGGAGCAGACTTTGCAGGAAAAAACTGAGGTGATTCTCCAGAAAGAGCAGGAGATTTTCCAGCTGAAGAAAGGTGAGGAGTTTTCCCCTGTTGAGCCTTCTGATCTGCTCCCACCTGGTGTCCCTGCCGGGAAGTGGCCTAGGCAGGAAGCGGCGTGGAGTCACCTGGCTGACGGTGCCCCCCCCCGGCGTAGGTCACGACTCTGCCCTGTCGCAGATGCACCAGCTGCAGAGTGAACTGGAGGCCCTGCAGAGCCTGAGGGCGGAGGAGGCCGAGGCTGCTGCAGCGGACGGCGTGCTGAGGCTGCCCAGCCCGGACCAGGGCTTGGTGCTGTCGGTGCCTGAGCCACACGTAAGTCCCCACTGGAGCTGCGGGCCGGGCATGGTGGCCGCAGTGTGCGCTGCGGCAGGACAGATGGCTGACCGCTGCAGGTGGCCCCGAGGAGGCGGGAAGACGTCGGGGTTGGGGGGACGCGGGAGGTTGGAATTACAGGAAGACACAGCTGGTGCTCCCTAGCTCCGGGCTGTGGGGCAGGTCACTGCCCTGTGCTCCAGCTTCCTGTCTTTAAAGTGGAGGTGCCGGGCGCCTGGGTGGCTCAGTGGGTTAGGGCCTCTGCCTTCGGCTCAGGTCATGATCTCAGTGTCCTGGGATTGAGCCCTGCATCGGGCTCTCTGCTCAGCAGGGAGCCTGCTTCCCCCTCTCTCTGTGCCTGCCTCTCTGCCTGCTTGTGATCTCTGTCTGTCAAAAGAATAAATATTTTTTAAAAATATATATTAAAAATAAATAAATAAATAAAGTGGAGGTGCTTAACTGACTAAGAGCTCGAGGGTGTCGAGGAGCCCATCAGATGTGGCAGCACGTGTCAGGGGTCAGGTGTTAGAGCACGCTCTCGCGGGGAAAGCTGATTGTCCCTCTGGAAGGCATTGGACGGGATCGCCACAGTTCAGGTGTGGTTCCTGGCCAGCTGTCTGTTCGAGCTCATCAGTCCACACCTCTGGAGTTTTCCCTTGGACCTTCGGCTTAACTTGACCATTACCTTGTCCTGGCTCTCAACTTGCTGTCTAGGTAACCTCGAGGGCCACGGGGGGCCCTGTGTACCAGCTTCCAGCAGCAGAGGGAATCCCAAACGGCGAGGTGGGGGTCATGGACCTAGAGCAGCTACAGAAGGAAAAACAGGACTTGGAGCAGCAACTTCTGGAGAAAAATAAGGTGAGGGCGCTCTCTGGCTCAGCTGTTGATCTCCCTGCACTGTCCCTGTATTTGTGCGGAAAACTGTCCAGTCCCTTTCTAGAGAGTTTGCGGATGCCCCGGGCACGTCCCAGGGGAAATCTCACCTCTTCAGCAGAAGGCCTTCTTCCTGGATTTCTGCCTGCGCTGCCTTCCTTTCCCACCTCCCCCGACTTGCAATCATGTACAGTGTCGGAGCTCGAGCAGTAGTGACTTCAGATGTTCGCAGCCGCCTCTGCTGTCACCAGTGGGTCCCATTGGACCAGACCCCTTACCTCCCACTTCCTTTCCATGGCCATGAAATGACCCAGTGAGGCCTGACTTCAAGTGGTTTTACTGGGGGGGAGGGTTGTTGAGGACAAAAGGAAAGTGTCCGTTAGCTGTCCTGTAGCATTTCTGGTATTGGCAGAGGCTTAATAAATGTCATGACTCCACCCATCCTGCCAGCCTCTGCATCTGCGAGCGCAGGGTCTTGTTCCATCCTGCTTGCCAAGGGCCCTGGGAAGTCAAGTGTGCTGACTGCTCATTGCTCAGCCTCCAGTGTGTGATTGTGGGTATTTTTTTAGACCTTTATCAAAAGGAGAAAGTGCTCATCCCTCTCCCTCTCTCTCGCACACACACGTTTAATCTTAGTATGAAATATCGAATACAGAAAAGCGAACAAATAGCATGTGCCCCCGGGCCCAGCCCTCAGACCCCCTCTCTGATGGCAGTCAGTCCCTTGCTGCACGCTGCAGGCACCCGCACCCTTCCGCAAGCCCAGGTGCTCCCGGAACCCTAGATCGTTGCTGTACCTCTGCGGCATTGTCTAAAAACATCTGAAAATTAAACCACCCAAAGCCAAACTTCAGACTCACCGAGCTGCCCAGCACCGGCTGCCGCCCTTTAGCTCAGTGAGCGTGAAAAGTAAAACTCGTGGTGTCATTCTCAACCCTTGTGTCTCCTCCACGAGCAACAGCCACACTGTTAGCCAGTCCTTGGGCTCTCCTTTCAAACTACACCCAAACTCAGCTGCTCCCCATACCCCCCCACTGCTGCCACCCAAGGTCAGGTTACCATGGTCTCTCCCCTCCAGGCTGGTGTTGGGCTTCTAACTGGTTTCCCTATCACCCCACAATTCTATCCCTCTGATGACTTCCTCTATTAAAGCCTAGTCTTTGCAGTGGCCCACAAAGCCCTGTGCAGTTTGGCCCCTTAGTACTCCTTTTACTCCACCCCCTCTGCCGTCCCCAGCACTCCCTCTCAGCCATACTGGCCTTGCCTTTCTGTGAATGTTAAGCACCCTCCTGCCTCAGGGCCTTTGCACTTTCTGAGCCTTCTGTCTGGAAGATTTTTCCTGCAATTCCCTTACTTCCTTTATGGTGTCACTTGGTCAAGGCATCTTCCGTGCTACCCTTGGCAGCCCTCACCACCAGAAGAACCTCCTGTCCCCTTACCTCACTCTTTCTCTCCATGCTTCTTAATACCTTCTGATGTACTAAATACTGGTTATTGGCACTTTTCCCTCCTGAGAGCAGACGTTTTTCTCGTTTTCCTTATTGTTTTTTCCCAGCCTCCAGGTAGGTGTCTGCCACTAATAGTAGGGACTCAGTCGGTATTTGTTAGTTGAATTAGTTCATGAGCCAAAAGCCTAGAAAATCAGGTAACATAAAATAGCAAATGTACTTTTAAATGAGTGCCCAGGCTCTTGGTTAGCCAAGAGAATAACAGACTGAAACAGCACATTACCATTTATAAAATAGGGTGTTTGGAGCCATTTAATGTGCTTGACAGGAGCTGAGCTTCTCACAGAGCCGTCTCACTCTGTGCAGAGACTGTGGACATACCTCTGGAGAAAGCAGAGCTGACCACCACTTTAAAAGTGGAGGCTCAGGGAGCCTCGGTGGCTCAGTTGGTTAAGTGACTGCCTTCGGTTCAGGTCATGCAATCAAGTCCCACATTGGGCTCATAAATAACTAAAATCTTTAAAAAACAAAAAAAAAAGTGGAGTCTCAGCCCCACTCTAAGACATGGGGCATCCCCTAGAGTTACTATCACATTCAAAGTTAAAATTGAAGGGACACCTGACAGGTTTAGTTGGTGGACCATGTGACTGTTGATCTCAGGGTCGAGTTCAAGCCCCACATTGGGCATAGAACTTACCAAAAAAAAAAAAAAAAAAGGAAAACTGTGGAAAGGTGTGAAAACTGATAAATGAAAAACACTCTTCAAAATTCTAGCTACCGGGGTGCCTGGGTGGCTCAGTCAGTTAAGCATCTGCCTTGGGCCCAGATCATGATCCCAGGGTGTTTGCTGCTCCCTCTGCCCCTCCCCCCAACTCATTGATTCTCTCTTTCCCTCTCTCTATCAAAAATAAATAAATTTTTTAAAAAACAGAAAAGAAATTCTAGCTACTCACCCCAGGATTGGTGACATAGACAGAAATCCACAGGAAAAACTAATGTTGATGTTACAGTTGTGAGACTTGGGTTAACATTTTTTCTTGTATTGCTGATTATACAGTAAGTGCTTTCGTTGGGAAAACAGAGGTTAGCCTAGTGATCAGTGGAGTGTGTAACAAATTACACTTAAGCCTCGACACTAATTAAATTCACCAAAAAGAAAATTTAAAGAACAGATAAGGACAAAAAAACTATGATCTGTTACACTGTTAAAAATAAGCATAAAAATTATATTTCAGGAGAGCAGTGATGTGGGATCATGGCACAGAATTATAATTCTGAAGAACAAAATGTTCTGGGGTGCTTGGGTGGCTCAGTGGGTTGGGCCTCTGCCTTCAGCTTAGGTCATGATCCCAGGTTCTGGGATGGAGCCCCGCATCTGGCTTTCTGCTCGGCGGGGAGCCTGCTTCCTCCTCTCTCTCTGCCTGCCTCTCTGCCTACTTGTGATCTCTGTCAAATAAATAAATAAATAATCTTATTAAAAAAAAAAAAAAAGAACAAAATGTTCTGTCCAGAGGGGTTTCCAGCTGCACTCCCTCCAGAGGCAGGCACCAGAAACCATCCGGTGGGCCCTGTGAGGAGGCTAGGGCAGCCCTGCAGCCTGAGTGCTCTGCAGAGGGGGTATGACAGTGGCCTCTGTGGGGCATGGTGAGCATGTGCATGCAGAACAGCCGGGGAAGAGCCCCAGGCCTGCAGGTGTGACAACGCAAGCCTCTTGGGAGACAGGGCAGGGTCTTGGAACAGATACATGGGGCCCCAAGGCAGCAGCTGGCTGTTCTGTTGTCCGTTGCACTTGAAGAATGGTGACATGTGCATTTAATGAATGGTGTCTTGTGGGGGCGGGGCTTTGTCTCAGACCATAAAGCAGATGCAGCAGAGGATGCTGGAACTCAGAAAGACTCTCCAGAAGGAACTGGTAAGTGCCCCTCTTCTACCTCATGCCTGTTGAAGCCCACCCATCCCCACTGATGGCAAGAGGCTTCTGGAAAGCCGGACGTTGGCTGGTGGGACAACGGCCCTGCCAGCTTGAACAGGCCTCTGCCAAGTAGCTGTGGGACTGTGGGCAAGAGGTGTCCTGACCCGGGTAAGGGAAATGTCTGAACTTCCCCTGATGACCTCTCCTTCATCAGCGGCCACCCCACCTGGAGGGGCCGAGCCTTCCTTGGGCCCAGAAGGCACTCCCTGCCCACGGGGGCCCTGTCATGCTGCCCTGCGCTGGGCCTGGTAAAGGAACGGCCCGTGGTCACCGCGTGGGCCCCAGGATCTCCCGGGGGGTTTTCACACCTGACTCGGGGGTTCAGTGTAGCATCTTTCCTTTGGGTTTTCAGAAAATCAGGCCCGACAATGAGCTCTTTGAAGTCCGGGACAAGCCTGGCCCTGAGATGCCAAACATGGCTCCTTCTGTCACGAACAACGCAGACCTGACTGATGCCCGCGAGATCAACTTTGAATACCTGAAGCACGTGGTTCTGAAATTCATGTCCTGTCGGGAATCTGAGGTAGAGGGCTTCTGAGTCGCCTGTGGGGTACGGAGTGCCCGGCTCATTGGTCCGAGCCTCGCGTGGCCTCCCCCAAGTCCGTTTCTTTCTTCCTCTCCCACATTCTGATTTGCCCGCCGGTGTGGATGCCTCGTGCTTTCTCCGGCTGGCCGTGACCCGCTGACTGCAGCGCGCACTTGGGGGCCGAGGGGAGTTGGGTGCTGAGTCCCGGGAGCTGAAGCGGCCCCACATTCCTGCACCTGCTGAAGAGCAGGGCTGCGGCTGCGGGGATGTCCTGGGGATCGCGCCAGCTCCCGGAGGAAAAGATGGAGGGGAAAAGAACGGGTCATTGTGGTCAGACCGGAGAAAGCCCAACTTGGCCCTAAGCAAAGCTGGCGGGAGTGGACCTGGGAAGCGCTGCCATTTAGGGCCCCCGACCACCCCGCTCTGCCTCCACCAGGGCCCACGGCAGCAAAATTTTCTTTGTTCCAGGCTTTTCACCTTATAAAAGCTGTGTCCGTGTTGCTGAACTTCTCACAAGAGGAAGAGAACATGCTCAAAGAAACCCTGGAGTATAAGGTAGGTCTCCGTGGGCTCGTAGCCACTGGAGTTACAGCCCAGTGCTGGCGGGGGGCCGCGAGCTCCTCCGAGGATGCGCTCGATTCCTGCGCGCATGGCCCTGCCGCGCCCCGCCAACGGGCCTGGGGCTGTCCCGGACACTGTCACTGACGCGTCTGACGTCCACAGCCCCAGGTCTGGCCTGGCATCCAGACTTAAAAAAAAAATACAATATTCAGAAGGTATGTGCCGAAGGGTAGAACAAAAATACATTTCAAGGCAGAATTACCTCCGGTTCCGTCACCTGGTTCTGGTCAAGTCCATGTTCTCCAGCTCCCCTCGAGTCCTCAGAACGGGCTCGGGGCCCCGCAGACCAGTCAGTGCGAGCAGCGTCTTCACCGCGAGCTCATGGCGGGCGTCACGCGGCGTGGCGGGGGGCCACAGGGCGGCCTTCTGGCTGCTTCTGCATCTCACCCCGGTGCTCACCTCGAGCCCTTTCTGTTTCAAACACAGATGTCGTGGTTTGGGTCCAGGCCAGCCCCCAAGGGCAGCATCCGGCCCTCCATCTCCAACCCTCGGATACCCTGGTCCTAGATGGAGGTACCGACAGGCGGAGCGCCACGCGATGACACTTTTTCTGTGAAAAGAACAGTGACACACCGGTCCGGGTGGGTTTTTAATCACTGTAACTGCAGTATTTTGTACAAGCGTCAAAACATTGTTTACAAGACTTAAGGCCGCCTTCCCGGCAGACTGGCTGACCCAGTGTCCTTGCGCTCACCGAGCCGGAGGGTCCTGGCACGCCCCACATCTCCCCAGCGCTGCTCGCATCCCAGCTCTGGCTGCTGCCCGTCTGCGCCGGAGCCCGCCGAGTGTCCGCGCTCGCGCTTGAAGCTGCAGTGGCCGCCTCAGGCAGGGAGGAGGCCCGGTCCAGCCCACGGAGATGGCTCTGGGCGAGAAGGCGGCCCGTCGGAGTGGTGGTCGCGGGCCTGCCTGCCCCCGCCTGCTTCTGCCGCACAGAGCAGCTCGCTGGGTGGGCTTTCCCGGTTAGCATGTTTGGGGTCGGATGAGCTAGAAGAGGCTTTTTAACCCTTCCTCTCAAGAAAACATTATTTCACCTTGTTTCCCAAACCACCCAGAGCTTTAGGCGTGCACATCTCTAAGGTACTCTGGGGCCAGTGTGGACTCCTGCATATGCAACTGACAGTATCTCACCTGAGGAGAACTAGCAAATCTATAAAAAAGATCCTTAGTACCAAATACACTCAATTGCCTTTTTAATGAATGTACTTGTCTTGGATAGGTTGCTGGTAAACCATTTTAAACTATTTTTTATAGCTAAAGTTCTTCGCTATTATAAACATGTCTCTGTATTATAAAATCCATTTAACTGGTGTTCTTGAAGGCAAATCAGAGCATCAAGAGGAAACTATTTCTAGGATTGAGACGCCTCTCCCTTTTTTAATTTCACTAGCATTCTGTGGTCTCTGCTTCCCTCTGAAGCAGTGGTGGTATTTCATTTGCTTTGCTTTTAATTCCCTGTTGTAAGACTGAGCAAATGCCAATCCCGTTTGCTGCGGTTAAGGACCGTCTGCTCCATTCAGGAGAAGTCGTCATGGTCCCCTCCATCCTCGACCAAAACATCGCCTTGTATGTGGAGCCACCCCCTCTCCCCCCAACTCCTGACCCTGCATATTTAAGCCAACACTACATTCCGGACTCCAGGCAGCACCCCCACCGGCCACAGTGCGTGACAGCATGCCAGTGGCTCTGGCAGGGACCCATGAAACTTGTTCTCTCGCTGAGGAAAGGGGAACGCGCTTGCACTGGATAATCCACAGTACGGACTCCCGAGACTGCTAACGGATTCCGTTTGACTCAAGTTTCACTGGTTAAGTAAAAAGCTGAGTTAGTAACAGGAGCTCTGAAATTTATTTTCAGTTAGCCAATGATGTAAAGTTCCGTTTCTCAAAAATGCATAGGGTTAAAATACGTAAAGTATAATCTCACGGGCAAACGGGGATTTGCCGAGTAAATGTACTACATGTCGGCAGACCCGGAAGTACCCAGCAAGGGCAGCATCACCGTCCTCCCAGCTCGGCTCTCTACCACCCCTCCTGGTCTCCAGTCACCTACCTCCTCCCGTGGCTCCTCCCTGCAGATGGCTGTCCTTTGTTTAGAATATTATGTTTCCTTTATCTGGTGGGGACACAAGATAGGAATTGCTTCTGTTCTGTAACTGTGGTAAGAGGTGGCTTCTCCAGCGGTCCCAGGAGTCTCCCCACGTTGGGTGGCTCAGGGCTTGCCAGCAGCTCCGAGACAGCGACGGCGCAGGGGGTCCCCTGTTGACTACGCTGTGGCCTCCCTGCCCACAGGCCCCCCGCAGCTTTCACTCGTCCTGGACTAGCTAAGGGAGGCTTCATTCCGAGTAGGCTTTCCTCCTGCATGTGGAATCTCCCTCAGCTTTAAGAGGAAGAGTGGAGTAGATATTCCAAGTGATTCAATGCACTTTTACTTGTATAAAACGTTCTGTGATACAGTGTGTATAGCCCTTTATATGAGCATCGGAGTTGGATCGCTCTCCGTGTTGTAAATAGGACTTGTACTAAGACTGCTGTAGAAAATTCATTTGTGGTGTCACTTTTTGATTAAAGCTCTTTAATCTGGATGCAGCTTCAGTGGGTTTTGCTTGATAGTCTGGTGTATCATATTTGACTAAGGAAATTTTAGTGCTTTGTGTCTCCGAGACAAATTTCCTGGACTATGGAACAGACCTTCCAGTTTGGTGAGCAGAGGTGTGGGGAGAGCAGCGAGCTCCGAGAGCGTGGAAGCTCCGTGTCCTTTCCCCTTACGTTCCCAAGTGCGTCTCTTGCATCTGGCTGTTGCTGTAAGTACAGAAAGGGGAGCGAGGGGAGACGGCTATAGAACATTTGTCTTTCAGAAAGCACTCCCACCCCGGGTTTAGGTAAATATATGTGATTTAATGAAGGCAGCAGCCTAGTCCTACCTCCCAGGAATGGTGGAGGTTCTGCAGAGGAATTGGAAGGATTGTGTCCCTTCGGTCAAGGTCTTCTCTCCGAGAACCACATCAGTGGGGTCCCTTAACAGAATGCAGACTGCGGTTCCGTGTGCTTAGGAGGTTACAAACACATCCTGCTCTTCAGAGCAGCTGGCTGTTAGTGGTTATGGGAACAAAATGTTCCTTTTGTATCTATAGGCTGATGGTACCTGTTTCTGGCTTTTAATCCTTTGAAAAAAATTTGTCAGCATTTCGGTAAGGGTGTTCCTGCCACAGAGCCCCAGCCAGTGTCAGGAGATGGTGACCAGGCCCTTCCGGGGCATGCGCCCAAAAGACTCCACATGTAGTCACACAAACTAAAGACTTTAAAAGCCTAGATCAATTATTGAATGTTTGGTACTTTATTAAATAAGCTTCAAAATTACATACAAATCAAAGGAGTAAAACCAATAAATAGTTGTCCGCCAAACTCTGTCCCCACAGCAGCCCGCAGCACGGAGCCCAGGCCGGAGGTACTGCAGCGGCAAGAGGGCCGGACGCCACGCTCACTCCCCAGGACCGGCTCTGCGGGGCACGCCCACCCCCACATCAGTTTCTCATTCATTACCATCCCATTCCGTACTCACTTTACATACATGACACACACCGCAAAGTACATACTAATAAGCCAAGAGCTTTATTGATGCAGCAGGCACTTTACAATGAATCCAAGAGAGCCCGTCTTCTCTGGGAAGACGGGGCGTCTGTACAAACCCTCGAAGTTTTACTACTTCAAAAAAACAAGCTCTCCCTTTGACCACAGCCCTTGGATCTGTACCTGCCTAGATCGTCCCTCCCCCACGTGAAACAGGCAGAGCACACAGGTACCCCCGACCAACGCCGGCCAGCCGCTCTGGTAGACAGTTACGTCAGTTCTGTGTTACTCGTGGACAAAGGCATAGACTATCAGATCCTGCAAAGGATTTAGGAAACAGACGAGTTCTCCCTCCACCTTGAAAATAAAATACACTTCAGCGGATGCATGTCCTGAAATACTTCAGTTGGAAGTTCCTAAGAAGATGGTCCACTGGCAATCCCTTCTTCGTCAGCCTGTGCATCCAAAATTCTTCTCAAGGTAACATGAGTCCTTTTATTTTTTTAAACAGTCTTTCTTGCTGTAAGAACTCTTATAATGGAGCCTAGTCCTCCTACGGCTAACGCCTGTGGGGGCAGGAAAAGGAAAGGAGTCAAATGAGACCTGGCTGACCCAGGGGGAGCCCGGCTTGCTGGGGGACATGGGACCCATCACAGCTGCCTCCCCGAGCCCTCCTTAGAAATGCCAACAGGGCTCAGCACCAAGTCACCTTAAAGGGACCAAAGTGCCTGGCCTCCACAACAGGCGCACGGCTTGCTCAGTCCCTAAGTAGCACAGCCACCACCCCCTCCCCAAGCCCTAGTCACCTTCTGGCCGAGCAGGCCCGGCATGCCCAGCAACACGACCAAAGGCCACTGCAGCCCAGCACCGAGGCTGCCCAAGCGGCTGACCCCTCCGAACTCAACAGAGCCTCTGGGGAAGGGCGTGGTGTCAGCAGTAGCCTGGCGTGCGATCCTGACGAGCAAGCTCCCCGTAGCTCCACAAGGGGGAAGCTGGCTGGATGAAAGGCCTTGCTCTTGTAACGACCCGAGCAGAGGACAGGCACAGCTCTTCGTGCTTCCGGGGGCTGAAAGCCCTATTCAGTGAACATCAGGTTTCTGCCACTGCCCCCTCTGACCTGGTGAGGCCGAGGCCAGAGCAGGAAGCCCTGAGAGTCCACTGGAGGGCTCAGCCTGCATTCCATTCCTGTGGCCTGCCCGCCCCCCCACCGCCGCCACCCACCACCACAAAGAAGCTGCCTCCCTCCCAGCTGGGACTCCCTGTCCGTCTCACCATGCCACGTCACCTGTCCCCAGGACATGCCTGGCACAAATCAGCAGCTAAAGCAACTGGAACTCCCAGAACCAGTGAACCCCTACCAGGTGCTGCCACGGGAGAAGCGACCAGACGTCCCAGGTTGTTTAAGGTGTAGCCCCTTACTCTGCAACGCCGAGCACACTGTCCTGTGTTTGTCTCGGAACATCTGGCCTCCTGACGTGAACCCTGGGGCAGGGGCCAGGCGGGCACAGGCCACCTGTGCGGGCAGTGTGCTCACGTACCTTTTCATGCCACTGGAGTAACACTGCGCTGCTGTTTTCTGTGGGCTTCTCAAAGCCTTTATAAATGTACTTCATTAGCAAGTCAATGCCATTTCTGTCCAGCGACTGGACGGCCTGCTCAATCTCACTGCTCTTAAAGTTCGTGAGCACTTTCAGCACCACGCCCTGGGCTCGTTCCTGTGAAGCAGACACAAAGGGAGTGGCGCCCGGAGCCTACGCCCAGGCACACCCACGCCCTCCCAGACGGGCACAGAAATGCCGAACCGAGTGGTCAGAACTCTTAGAAACACTGCCCCGTTTCTCGTTTGTCTGGGACGGTTACGACCTAAGTGGCCGATAAGTTATTCCACTTCTCTGGGGGAGAGTAAGTGGTCTACGGCAGAGAAGCGTCCCTGCTCCTGAGGACACCTGCAAGGCTCAGGCTCCCCAAGATCCCAACCGTGGAGACCGATTTTCTTAACAGGTCCAAGAAGAGCTGCAGCTCCCCTCTGCATTCACCCCAGTAAGAGAGGGGCTGTTTCCCTCCACCTGAGAGGTGCAGCCGTGGCTTACGTCAAGATGCTATCA